GAGAGGCTGTTCTATCAGCATTTTCCCTCCTCACTGGATACTGAAGTTGCTTCCCGGCACTGCCTTGGCGGTTCTGAGGAGGCCGGGTGTGGTGTGGTGCTGAGGAATGGAGATCTGAGGTGCCAGGCACGGGGGCACCTCAAATCCCATTGTGGATGCTTTCATCCTGTTGTGTTTTTGGGGGTGCCCACCATGCAATGCAGAGGGAACATGCTGGCCGGGGTGCCTGAGTCTCCCTTGTGTACAACGTCCCTGGAGCCAAAGTGAAAGGCTTTTAGGACTCTTACAGGGGGGTCATTATTCCTGCCAGGTCCCACTCTCACCTCACGTTTCCACTCCGGAGGACAAAGAATGGGGAGAAGAAATCAATGTCTGCTGTAGGTTTGAGTCTGTAGGTCATCAAAGGCCCCACAGCTCACAGCTCTGCCCAGCACCCTCTCCCATGACCCAACCCGGGGAGCCCAGCTATGTGGAAGCCCAGGACTTCTAGGCAGGGATGACCCGGGCCTCTGGCAGGCGGGGCCAACTCTCCTGCTGAGGCTGGAAGGCCTGGTGGTTAGGGAGCACTTACCCTGGGTGGTCAGGGAGTCACTTGCGGCAGAGGGGCACAGGCCAGGCCGTGGAGCCCCCGAGTCCTGGTTTGATCCCCACACTGCATGCCCCTGCCTGTGCCAGCCCCACTGTCTCTCTGGCCTAAAACAACATTTGTGTTGCAGTGGGGCAGGGCGTGTGGGATCGTTCCTTTCTGCTCCACTTGGCACTGCGCAGGGTGGCCCTGAGCGTTTACAGTCGCCACATACACTGCAACAGCCGTGTTTCAGGTGATAACAGGGCCCTGTGCTCACCTGTTTTGCCCACAACAACAGGTCCGTGACAGCTCTGCAAAGGGACGGAGCACACCCGCGGGAGGGGTCTCTGACGCCATGTGAAGAGGGAACGAGACAGTGGATGCCCACCCCGCTCACAGAGACTGCTTCGGTGGGCATATCTTCTGGGGGAGCTCTCCCTGGGGTCGCTGACGGCCCTTCCAACAGCTGTTCAGATTCAGTGACAACAGAAGACGCCCTCCCCGGGGCTGGGATGGAGCCTCACGGCGTGACAGGTCCCCCAAGGAAAGACTCGGCACTCCATCAAGAAAGGGGAGCAGGACTGTCCTCCACGCCTCCCTGCCCTGAGCCTCCCTCCTGTGGCACGGGCTGATGGCTGGGAACCCCCAGAATTACTCCCTGTAGCCTTTGCACGCCTGAGGGGAGGGAGCCAGGCCTCAGAGGGTGGAGGGGTGGAGGATCATGGTCAGACCAGCTCATCGGTGATGGCGACAGAGCAGAGCCAGGGGGCAGAGCCGTGACAAGGTCTTGTTTGTGTGTGTTTGTGGGGTTTGAGTTTCTGATGATGACTACACCCCCTGCCAGGCCTACCCAGCTGGAACCAGATTGGGCACGGGGCCAGGGCCTGCCACCCTCAGGGCCGGCATAAGAGGCAGGGGGAGGGTCCAGAGCCCCTTGGGGCAGAGGTGCCCGCACCGCAGGGTGGCAGGGCACAGAGCTAAAGCAGCGGCCTCCAGACCACCAGGTGAGCAGGGTGGCTCTGGAGGGGCCCTCTGCGGAGGCCAGGAGGGGGAGTCATCGAACCTGTGTCCTCAGGCAGGACAGAACGCAGCAGGGTGAGTACATTTCCACAGGCTCCTGCTCCTTTCCCCTCTGCGTGTCACCCTTGGCAGTGACCAGCTCCGTCGCTGGAGACTGGAGGAGACAGTGGGAATGACTTGCTGATCTCTGGAAAAGGCAGCACCAGGGGTGGAGGGTGTTACTGTCTGTTTGAGGGCAACATCCAGCAGTGCTCAGGACTTACTCCTGGCTCTGTGCTCAGGAATCACTCCTGGCAGGGCTCAGAAGACCACATCCCACGCAGGGTCAGCCTTGTACAGGCACGCGCCTTCACCCCTGCACTCTCTCTCTGCCCCCTACTTTTCATTTATTTATTTACTTATGTATTTATTTATTTATTGCTTTTGGGTCACACCCGGTGATGCACAGGGGTTACTCCTGGCTCATGCACTCAGGAATTACTCCGGGTGGTGCTCGGGGGACCATATGGGATGCTGGGAATCAAACCCGGGTCGTCTGGGTGCAAGGCAAACACCCTACCCACTGTGCTACTGCTCTAGCCCCCCCCTTTTTTTTTTTTGCTTTCTGGGTCATATCTGGCAATGTACAGGGGTTACTCCTGGCTCTGCACTCAGGAATTACACCTGGCGGTGCTCAGGAGACCATATGGAATGCTGGGAATTGAACCTGGGTTGGCCGCGTGCAAGGCAAACGCCCTACCCACTGTGCTATCGCTCCAGCCCCCCTACTTTTATTTTAAAGAAGAATTTTATTTGGAGGGGCAGTGTTTGGCGGGCACAAGCCGTAGCTCCTGTATTATCTCCCGGGCCCAGCATTGTCATCTTTTGGGCAACCAGACACCAGGTCCTGGGGCTGGCCCCTCCCTGGACTGGACGAAGGCCGGAGGGGGCTCCCCACACGTTCTCTCCATATTCCCGATGCTGCAGCGCTTTAGGCAGGTGCGGTTCTTACAGAAGAGGAGCCTGGAGCACAGGGCCGTGACGCCTCTTGCTCAAGGTCGCAGAGCAGCGAGTGCAAACCAGAATCTGAATTCCTGCGTGCAGAGCCCTTGCTCTTTCCCACTCTGCCATCTGCTGCTGCGAAGCTGCGAGCGACAGTTTTCTTGTCGTTTGAGGTTGTCAGATTTCTTTCTTTCTCTTTGGTTTTTTGGGTCATCCCCCAACTTGGTGCACAGGGGCTACTCGGGGCTTGGTGATTGGGGTTATTCTGGCAATGCTCAGGGGTCTGTGGAGTGTCAGGGATGGGACTGGGCCTCCTGCAGGCAGATCTCACACTCCTGAGGATGTGAAACATGATAGTTAGAAAGAAATGACCCTGGAGGGGGCCACGGAGTCAGCCAAGGAGTGAGGGTTGCAGGCCGGGTATGTGCTGGGTCCTGGTTTGATCCCTGTCACTTTCTGGCCTCTGCCTTGCTCTGCTGGGTGTGCTCCTGGTGGCCCAGCACGACTGATCAGAGTAACACTGAATTGCCGGTCCAAACATTGGGCTGTCTGGCCCAGAAGTGGCCCCCAGAATCCCTGAGCACTGGTTGGAAATTGAGAGAAAGAGAGAGAGAGAGAGAGAGAGAGAGAGAGAGAGAGAGAGAGAAAGAGAAAGAGATAGAGAGAGAAGAGAGAGAGAGAACGAAGGAAGGAAGGAAGGAAGGAAGGAAGGAAGGAAGGAAGGAAGGAAGGGGAAGAAAGAAAGAAAGAGAAAGAAAAGATAGGGAGGGAGGAGAGAAAGAAAGAAAGAAAAGATAGGAAGGGAGGAGAGAGAGAGAGAAAGAAAGAAAGAAAGAAAGAAAGAAAGAAAGAAAGAAAGGAGAGAGAGAGAAAGAAAAAAGAAAGAGGGAGGGAGGAAAGAGGAAGAAAAGAAAGAAAAAAGAGAGTAAGAAAGAAAGAATCACCAGGCTGGAGAAATAGCTTAATGGACTGAGAATATCCTTAACCATAGGAGCCCAAGTTTGTGGGTTTGCCGTTTTTTAGGGAGGGACACACTATTGATACTCAGGGGTTACTCCTGCTCTGTGTTCAGGAATCACTCCTTGTGTTGCTCAGAGGGCCATGTGGGATTCCAGAGATCAAATCTGGGTTGGGCGGCTGCAGGCAAAGCAAGCACCTTACCCACTGCACTATGGCTCTGGCCCGGGAGGCCCAGGTTTGATCGCTGGTACCCTGAGCACTGCATGGTGTGTCTCCCCCAAGCCCCCCAAATACAAAGAGAAAGTACCTTGCGATTCCTTAGAGACATCTGGACATGGGTCAGCTTTAAGCACCTGAAAAGCCTTGTTGGAAGAATTTATCAAGAACTATGAAGATTGCGGGTGTGGCTCCGTGATTTATGTACCAGTTTTGTATGTATGAAGCCCCCGAGTTTATGTCCTCGCATCACTAGATCCCTGAGCACCGCTGGGTGTGGCCCTACCTCCCCCAAATAACTGTGGCATATTCATCAGCGTTCTTTTCCCGGGAGGCAACAAGCAATTGTGCTCAGGGCTTATTCCTGGCTCTCTGTTCAGGGATCACTCACCTCCATCATTCCTGGTGGGACCTGGGGGAACCATATATGCTCGAACCCCGAACCCGGCAAGTGCCCTAGCCGCTATATTATTGCTCCTGCTCCAACTTTCGGGTTTTTTTTTTTTTATATATAATATGGGAACCCAGCAGTGTCCTGGCTCTGCACTCAGAAATTACTCCTGGCGGTGCAGAGGGGACCATATGGGATGCCAGGGATCAAACCCAGGTCGCCTGCGTGCAAGGCAAATCCCCTACCCGCTGTTCTAGCACTCTGGCCCCCAACTTTCGTTTTATCTTAAGTTTTTGGTTTTGAGACCTCACTTGGTAGCACTCAGGGATCACTTCTGGTGGTACTTGGGGGACCAGGACCGTATGTGGTACTGGGAACTGAATTTGGGTCTGCCACGTACAACACAAGTGCCGTATCCCAGCCCTCAGCTTTCAGAGGCCGGCAGTGTTTTGGTCCCACATACTCCATGGCCGGGGGAACCGAGGACCAGCGTGTACAGGGACCTATCTAGACTCACAGAGAACCAGAGGGTCCGGCGCTCCAGCGGTTGCAGGTCCGAGGCTCCTGAGCTGGGCTGCCGGAGGGAGACATGGGCCAAGGAATTCTCCCAAGCAGCCGGGGTGTCGAGGGTGTGTCTGACCCACCTCACTGCAAACCTGTCCTTAAATGCAGAGTGAGCACTGGCTGACCTCACAGACCCACCCAGTGACAACCTGGCCTGGGAGGGACAAGACCGAGGGAGCAAAGGGCAGCGACAGAGTCCAATGGGTGCGTGGCGTTTCCTCTCATCTCCAGGTGTGGCCGCGGGTGCTCCCTCCCCTGGCCCAGCCGGGCACTCAGCCTTCCCTGGGCTCCGAAGGGACAATGAAAAGTCGCTGGCGCTACACCCGGCTGGTAAGAGGCCAGGGAGGGAGGGGGCTGTGGCCTCTGGCTCGGTGGGGGTGAGGGTGGGGGTGTCACAGGTGGGAGAAGCGAAAGCTGGTGTCTCCGGGTCTGTCTCCACAGCCCAGCCAGGTGGAAGACTCGCAGTGTGCAGAGGACAACGAGCAGGAGGAAGAGGACACCCACACAGAGCCCGTGCCTGAGCCTGGCCCGTCCCCAGCAGAGCCCTGGGAGCCCCAGTTGGCAGAAGCCAGCCAGGTTCTGGGGGCGGCTGAGATCAGGCAGGTTCGGTCCGGCCCAAGGCGCAGCATTTCAGTCACCCCTAGCCGGCTCCAGCAACCCTGGGGGAGGGGCGGGGTCGGGTGGGGTTGCTCTGTTCAGCTCTGCCCGAGCTCACGGGGCCACCGCGGGCAAATCAGGTCTCTCCTCTCTGCACTTTCCCTTCCTGGAGGATGACCTAGAAGGATTTCCTTATCTTGAAACAAGCAGATTGTAAAGTAGAGCCAGTCCCCAGGAGCTGAGCCCACGTGGGGGAGGGAGTGAGGTGGAAGGTCTTGGGGGGGGGGAATCTTTACTAGTCGAGCTTCTATTTGTGGGACCAGGATGGCCTGGTTCTACTCTTCACTCACTTATTACCCACATGAGCCTAATTTTTTTTTTCCTTTTGAGTCCCACCCAGCAATGCTCAGGGGTTACTCCTGGCTCTGTACTCAAGACACTCCTGGCAGTGCTCAGGGAACCATATGGGATGCTGGGGATCGAACCTGGGTCGGCCGCATGCAAGGCAAACGCCCTACCCGCTGTGCTATCGCTCTGGGCCCACACATGAGCTTAATTTTCTTGGGAAAAGAGGGACAGCTGAGGATTGAGCCCACCCAGTAGATCTGCGCTCTCTACCGAGACTCTTCCTGCCCCCCACAGCTCACCACACAGTGTAGGGTTTAGGCAGCTTACTTCACTCCCCGCAGCCTCAGTGTCCTCATCTGTAATATGGGAACAAGCATCTTTTCCCTGCAAGGGTCATTGGCAAGGGCAGTGAAGCCCCTGCTGACAGGGCCCGGGTCCGGATGCCCCTTAGGATGCGGAGTAGGTGAGGAAGGAGCACAGGAGGAAGGTGCCCCCTACCACACCTACAGCCCTGTCCCCCTGTTCCAGCTCTGCTGCCACCTGCCTCCCCGAGTCACCGGCCATTCCTGGAGCCTGGGCTTCTGCACGTGGAGGGATGGCTTCAGCCTGCGGAACCTGTACCGGCAGATGGAGGGCCGGAGTGGGCCTGTGCTGCTGGCACTGAGGGATGAGGACGGGCAGGTGAGTGGGGCTGCCCAGGAGGGCGAGACTCGGAGCTGGAAAACATCTCCTCGGTGAGGAAAGAATGGTGGGATGCAGCCCAGCAGGAACCCCTGCGGTTTACGGAGGAATTTGACCAGGGCTGCGCATCTGTCCAATGAGGATTCAGGTGGAGAGGGAAGGGAGGCTAGTTCTAACTGCTTTTCCATGGAAAGAATATGCTAGAGCTGGGAGAGAGCCCAAGGGCCCTGGTGAAGAGCCGGCCCCCCTCCCCCCCCTCCCCTGGTCCAGGAGCTCTTTCCTCAAGACCCCTTGTGAGGTAGAAGCCGCTTGCTCTGGGGCAGCCCAGCTGCTGACTAGGGCACTGTCCCCTGGGGTGAAGGCATTCTGCTCCCTACAGCAGCCCCTTCCCCCCCCAGTGGTCCTGCCTCTGCCATCAGCAGAGTTTATAACAGAAACCCCCCTCCCACCTATCCACATGGGGGAAAACAACTATAAGGCGTTTGCCTTGCATGCAGCTGACCCAGGTTCGATCCCCAGCACCCCATATTGTCCCCCGAGCACTGCCAGGAGTAATTTCTGAAGAGACAGGAATAACCCCTGAGCATCACTGGGCGTGGCTTAAAAACCAAGAAAAGAAAACCCCAAATTTATGGTCCTTCTAGGCAGAGAAATGGCATACAGGTGAGAAAAACTCGAGAATCTCTCTCTCACTCTTGTTTATGTGTTTTGTGGCCATACCCGGTGGAGGTTAGGGTGTATTTCTGGCTCTGCACTCGGATCACTCCTGGAAGCCTGGGGGACCATGCAGGATACCGGGGGTTGAACTGCACTCAGGGGTCACTACTCCTCACGGTGCTTGGGGAACCATATGGGTGCTGAGGATTGTTTGTTTTGGTTTCTTTTTTTTTTTTTTCTTTTTGGGTCACACCCAGCGATGCTCAGGGGTTACTCCTGGCTCTGCACTCAGGAATTACTCCTGGCGGTTCGCAGGTGACCATATGGGATGCTGGGGATCAAACCCAGGTTGGCTGTGTGCAGGGCAAAGCCCATTACCCTCTGTGCTACCACTCTGGCCCCCGGGTGCTGAGGATTGAACCCAGGTTGGCCACATCCAAGGCAAGTGCCGTCCCCATTGTACCATCTCCCCAGCCCCTGGAAAACTCCATAGAATCTTAGCTGTTCAAAGTGTTCAGTTTTAGACAGCTCAACAGACTCGGAGCGCACGCAAAGCAGCTTTCATCTCCGGAACCACATATGGTCCCCTGAGAACTAGCAGGAGGAACTCAGTTGTCTGTCAGTGTTCCAGCTTCAAACCCACACCAGTGATACTCGCTACTATCATGGACCTGCTGCTAACTTTCTTAAGCGAGGACATACAATTGTGGTTATGTAAGAGAGAGCCCCATTCTTTGGTTTGTTTTGGGACCACACCTAGTGGTGTTCAGGACTGACTCCTGGCTCGGGGCTTAGGGCCCATTTCCAAAGGTGCTCAGGAAGCCAGATGGGGTGCTGGGGCTTGAACCTGGTCTGGCTGGGTGCAAGGTAAGCACTCTATCCACTGCACTGATGGCCCCCAGCCCCCATTCTTTTTTGTTTTTTGGCCACACTGGCGGGTTCGGGGATCATATGGGATGCCCAAGACTACACCTAGGTCAACCCCTAGCAAGGTTAGTGCCCTACTCACTGTATTATTGCTTTGGCCACCGTATCCTCCATTTTTAGGAGCTGAACTATTTAGGGATGACCCAGGAGGATGATAATAGTTGCTTTCAAATCACTCACTGTATCACTGTCATCCTGTTGCTCATCGATTGCTCAAGCAGGCGCCAGTAATGTCTCCATTCATCCCTGTCGTGTGCTAGTGTAGCCCAATGGCGTCTGCTCGCTCCAGGAACACAAAGAGCACGTTGTTGTTACTGTTTTTGACATATCAAATACGTCACGGGTAGCTTTCCAGGCTCTGCTGTACGGGCGGGATATCCTAAGTAGCTTGCCAGACTCTTTGAGAGGGGCGGAGGCTTTGAGCTTATATAGCAGAGTCAGAGGTGGTTTGTGGGTGTGTCTCTCACATACCTAACTTTTGGCTGTTTAGTTTCTTGGTAAACTTGTTGTTGGGGTCTGGCCAAAGGCACAGTGGCAATTTTGGGGTATCTGGAAGTCTGAAGGCACCATCAGGCTGCTGATGCAACTCGCCCCACCAGGTACAGGTTGACCTGCTGGCAGCACCATACTCTCATGTTTCAAATAGGTCAGAAAAAATAGTAAAGGGACTGGAGTGATAGCACAGCGGGTAGGGCGTTTGCCTTGCACGTGGCCAACCCGGGTTCGATTCCCAGCATCCCATAGGGTCCCCCAAGCACCGCCAAGAGTCATTCCTGAGTGCAGAGCCAGGAGTAATCCCTGTGCATCGCTGGGTGTGACCTAAAAAGCAGAAAAAAAAGAACAGAAAAAATAGTAAATACAGTGAAGACATTTATAGCTGTTGAGTATGTGGGCTGGAGCGATAGCACAGCGGTAGGGCATTTGCCTCGCATGCGGCAGGCCCTGGGACCCAGGTTCGATTCCTCCGCCCCTCTTGGAGAGCCCGGCAAGCAACCGAGAGTTTCTCACCCTCGTGGCAAATCCTGGCAAGCTACCCATGACGTATTCGATAAGCCAAACACAGTAACAAGTCTCACAATGGAGACGTTACTAGGCCCACTCGAGCAAATCGATGAACAACTGGAGGACAGTGCTACAGTGCTACAGACTATGTGGAGGATATGTGTACTGTACTCTAAATTTCTAAATTTTTTGTTCTGGGCTGGGGGGGGGGTCACACAGCAGTAAAGGTACTTACCTTCCATGCAACCATCCCCAGTTTGACCCTCTTAACTACAAACAGTCTCAGAAAATAGTCAGGATTGATCTCTGAGTAAGTCAGGATTGAGCCAGGAGTAAGCCCTGAGCACCAGAGTGTGGTTCCCTCACCGTGCCCTCCCCCACACTTTTTTCCAACCTGTGTGCCTGAAATCTTACGTGAAGTGAGGGGGAAGCATCTTACAAAAACAGTTCTTGATGTTCTGTGCAACAGGTCCCTGAATAATGTGTTCTCTATCATTTCATTATGGTGATAATGGGAAGAGAAATCAATGAGCTGCAGAGCCGCTGTCTGTCTGTGTGGAATTCGCACACTGGCTCTGGGTGGGTTTCTCTGGGGACAGTGGTCTCTTCCCGCATCCTGGGGATGTGCCTGCTAGGCTGGTGGGTGGTTCAGCTGTCACTCCTGGGTAAATATGCCCCACCATCAATGGGACCTGTGCTTGCTGGCCTTGTAGCCTAACTTGCAGGATAGGCTCCAACCAGGCGACCCTGACCTGGAAGAGGTGAACATGACTTATTTAATGTTGGAAGTGTTTTGGATTTTTTTCTTTTTGGCAATACACAGGGGTTACTCCTGTCTCTGCACTCAGGAGTTACTCCTGGCGGTGCTTGGGGGACCATATAGGATGCTGGGAATCGAACCAGGGTCTGTTGTGTGCAAGGCAAACGCCCTACCTGCTGTGCTCCAGCCTCTTGGATCTTTATTTATATCTCTAATGTAGGTTTTTTGGGCTACATCTGACAGTGCTCAGGGCTTATTCCTGGCCCGGCTCGGGGAAACAGTCCTTGTCGTGCTGGGGATGGAACTCAGGTCAGCCACTTGCAAGACAATTGTGTGAACCTCTGTTAAGCCTGTTATCTCTCCAGGTTGGTGGTTGCTCTATCTCACGGTGATTCAATATAAAATAAAATAAAATAAATTTCATGGTAGGGGTCCAAGGTAGTACAGCAGGTAGGGTGTTTGCCCTGTACACGGCTGACCCAGGTTCGATCACCAGCACCACATATGGTCTCTAGAGCCCACTTGGAGTGATCGAACTTACCTTATGGTAAAATTGATTTTCACTATGTCATTTTGCCTAAACTCAGTTTCCAAGAAATTATTAAAGGCAGCAGGTGAGGACTTACTTAGAAAATGTACACTGGCATTAAACAGGCATTGGAAGGAAACACACTGACACTAGGAAAGGTTATCTTGGGGAAGTACTTAGCGGGGAGGGCATGCTCTGATATACAAGTCTGGGGTTCAATTCCCAACTCCAAAAACAAAATTAAAGTAAGTCACTAAAGGGTTGCGGAGATAGTACCACACATAGGGCACTTGCCTTGTATGCAGCTGAGCCAAGTTCAAGCCCTGCCAAAAATAAGTCCTGAGCACTGCCAGGCATGGCCCCCAAACAAAACAGAACAAAATAAAGAAAAATTCACTGAAGAGAAAAATGAAAGAATGCTAGTAAGAACTCATTCTCCAACAGTATCTTGGTGGGGGGCCCTTTTCCCCAAGCTCTGCTCCATGGACACAGTTTCCCTGAGAGGAAACCGGTATTACCAAGACTGGGAAGGGGGGCTTCCATCTCTCGTCCAGCCTCAACCAGCGAGCTCTCCTGCTTTTCAGATGTTTGGAGCCTTCTCTTCCTCAGGATTTCGACTCAGCAAAAGCTTCTATGGTACTGGCGAGAACTTCCTCTTCTCCTTCTCCCCTCAGCTAAAGGTGAGAGGGCGCAGAGTGGGCTGTGGTCTATGGCCAGGATGCCAGTGGTCCCCACTTCTTTTTTTTGGGGGGGGGTCACACCCAGCAATGCTCAGGGGTTACTCCTAGCTCATGATGCACTCAGGAATTACTCCTGGCGGTGCTCGGGGGACCATATGGGATGCTGGAAATCGAACCCGGTTTGGCCACGTGCAAGGCAAACGTCCTACCCACTGTGCTATCGCTCTAGCCCCTGGCCCCTGCTTCTTGTCCTGTGCCAGATGGCGGGAAATGCATCCTTCAGGGCCTTCCTTTTCCCTGCCTTTGACCTGGCATCCCTGTGCTCGTGACTTCCCAGCAGTTCCTGGAACGCTGCTCCACTCAGCACACCAAAGAGCGTCTTCATTATTTTGTTTTGGGGTTACAACCAGCGGTGCCCAGTGTTTACTCCCGGCTCTGTGCTCAGGAACCACTCCTGGCGGGCTCAGAGGCACATATGTGGCGCTTGGGATTTCATCTGTATGTAAGGCCCTCCCCCACACCCCCACCACCCCCATACTATTGCTCTGGTCTAGCATCTTCATTTCTTTTGTAGCAATGCTTGTCTTACTCCTCAAGTGTGAAGGTCGTGTTCCTGGGTGACAGTAGGAGCTGGAAGTTTTTTTTTCTCTGGGTCACTTGTTAATGTTATCTCATCTCTTCTGGAGCCCATGGCTTGTCTTTGTTTTGGTTTGAATTGTTCTAGGGACATCCCCAATGGGGCTCTGGGTTCATTCAGGGTCAGGAATCCAATGCAAGGCATCTCACATGCCTCTTTCACAGAGCTACATCCCCAGGCCTCCAGGGTTTAATTTTTTTTTTCCCTTTCCTTTTTGGGTCACACCTGGTGATACTCAGGAGTTATTCCTGGCTCTACACTCAGGGGTAACTCCTGGCTCTGCACTCAGGAATTACTCCTGGCGGTACTGGGGGACCCTATGGGATGCTGGGGATCAGGACCCCAGGGATCGAACCTGGATTGGCCACGTGCAAACACCCTACCCCCTGTACTATCACTCCAGCCCCTGATCTGTTTTTTTGTTTTGTTTTTGGGTCACACTTGGCGGTGCTTGGGTCTTACTCCTGGCTCTGTGTTCAAGAATCCCTTCAGGCAGGCTCAGGGGACCCTGTTAGGCGCTGGGGACAGAACCTGAGTTGGCTGCGTGCAAGGCAAGTGCCTTACTCTCTGTGCTATCTCTTCAGCCCCCACTCATGGCATTTTTTCACAACCAATTTAAGCAGGCGATAATAAACAACATTTTTGTGGCCCTCTAAAAACCTTTTCATTATTTAAATGGACTCTTGAATTATTGATTCATTCGACCAGCGTCTGTGCCCTGTGCCAGGAATACTGCAGGGACTCGAGATCTCTCCTAGCACTTCCCTCTAGTGAGGCAGCCGAGGAGGAGACGGGCTGGGAGACAGGGCCACTTGTAGGGCAGTTCAGGGAAGTTCTCCCAGAGGACAGCTGGATGGAAGAGTGGACCAGTTGAGGCTCTCAGGGAGGCAGGAAGGAGCTGTGGGTGCCGCAGGATCAGAAAGGCCAGGGGAGGGGCAGGAGAAAACTCACAGGTGCGTCCACTCTGTATGTGGGAGACTGGAGTTTGATCCCAGGCACTGCACGGTTCCCCACAAGCACCTTCGGGTGTACCCCCCTCTTCTAACAAGAAGGCAACTATAGCTAAGTGCAGGCCTAAGGGGAGAGACGGTGAGGGGCATTCAGGGGTCCAGCAGGCTCTAGCAGGGCCAGACACTTGGCTCCTGTGGCAATTGGAAGTCAATGGAGAGTCTTAAGCAGGGGAGTGTAACATTTAGTTGATTTTTATTACTTTTTCTTTGTTATTATGGGTCACACCTAGCAGTGCTTAGAGGCTGTCCCTGGCTCTGTGTTCAGGGGTCACTCCGGGAGGTGCTTAGTAGGCCATATTTAGTGCCTGGAACCAGGGTCGGCGGCAGTGAAGGCGGGTGCCTTAACCTCCTTACTTGCTCATCACTCCAGACCCTGAGTTACAGTTTGACTAAATCACTGATTCCTGACTGGACAACCTCCTCTTCTCCCCAGCACTGAACACATCAAGTCTCACTGTGTTCTGGTCTGTTCCTAGAACAGGGAGGCTTTGCAAATTTAGACAGGAGGGCACAGAGGAGGGAGTGAAAAACAAAAATTTAAAAAAATATATTATTTTAAATTGAGGTTCTATGGTTTACAATACTTTTTTTTTTGTGTGTCACACTCAGCGATGTTCAGGAATTACTCCTGAGTATTTTTTTTTTTTTGCGTCACACTTCTGGCTCTGTGCTCAGGAATTACTCTTGTCGGTGTTTGGGAGACCATATGGGATGCTGGGGATCGAACCCAGGTCAGTCGCATGCAAGGCAAACGCCCTACCTGCTGTGTTATCACTCTGGCCCCTACAATACTTTTAAGCATGGTTCATACACATAATTCTTTTTTTTCTTAACAAACCGCCTATAGGTGATGTGCTAATTTATTTTAATCCTTTTGTGTGTGTGTGCCCGTGAAACTTTTTTGGGTTACGCCCAGTGATACTTAGGGGTTACTCCTGCTGGTGCTTGGGAGATCAAACTTGGGTAGGCTGCATGTAAGGCAAACACCTCACCCGTTGTACTTCTGCTCCAGCCCCTCCCGGGTACATAATTCTAACACCACAGCCCTCACCAGAGTTAGTGAAATCCGCAGAGCCAGCTCAGTCATTTCAGTCACTTGTGGGACCCAATTGGGGATTGGATGATGCCGCCCCGTCACAACACTGCCACCCAGTGGTGTAGAACCAGAATGCAAGGGCAAGAACACAAGTCCACCAGAGCCTTTCTCTGTCTCCCCAGGTCTTCAAGTGGACAGGAAACAACTCGTTCTTTGTAAAAGGAGACTCGGATTCCCTCATGATGGGGAGTAGCAGGTATGTGTCTCAGGATGGTCTGTGTTCTGGTCGCTTCTGCCTAGAATTCCTGGGCTAGGGTGCCCTAGACAAAAAGAGGAGGCTGGTACTTAAGGCCATCTTTTTGGGTTTTAAGCCCCAGATGGTCTTAGGACTCAAGCCCACCCCCTCAGTGCTGTGCCAACCCAACACAGAAGGGAAAAGACGGCAGGGATTCCTCTCCCGCACTCACGCTGGTGGGCAGTTAGTCTGGATTTACACAACCTTGGTAACAGTATTCTACATGGTTGGATAAAGCTCTAGTTAAGAGATGGACAAGCCTTATTTTACTCGTCAGCCCCATATTCTGGGAAACATCTCTCTGGAGGCAGGAACCGTGTCTGTGTATGTGTGTGTTTGTTGAGTGTGAAGTAGGTTTGGAAAAATAGGTTACTCTCATGCCTGCAAATTCAGGCAGAACAGATCTCACCCTAAGGGAAAAGATGCAGACACTGCTTGATTAGTACCCGGCAAGCCCTGTGCTGTCCCCCATTCCCAGGGGCCTGGGCACAGAGCACTGCTGCCTTGCTGGCCTGCAACCATCCCTCCCCGCTTCCTCCCTCCTGCCCTCCCCCACACCCAGTGATGCTTCAGAGCTTGCTCTAGGCTCTATCACAGGGCACATGGTGGTGCCAGGGAAAGAATTAGAGTGGGATGCTTAACCCCTTACAATCTAGCTCTGGAGTGAATGCGTAATTAATTCTTTTTAAAAAGTTATTTTGTTTTGGGGCCATACCCGGCAGTGCTCAGGGCTCTGCATTCTTGGATCACTCCTGGCAAGCACTGGGGGTCCTATGGGATGCCGGGGGGGGGGGGGAAGCCAGGTCGGCCACGTGCAAGGCAAACACCGACCTGCTGTACTATTTCTCCAGCCCTAAGGAATGGATGCTTTCTGAGTTTTTTTCTTCTTTTTTCTTTTGGAGAACACCTGGCAATGCTTGGGGGCCCATCTGATAGCAGGGATTCACCAAGGCCCCCATATGCAAAACATGCAATGTGGCCCTTTCTGAAATATTCTGGGTTCAGAGCCCACACCTATGAGACTGGCTCTTGGTTAAGCACTGCGTCTTTATAAAAAAAAAAAAAGAAAAATTTTGAGTCCTAAAATGGGACTCTGGTGATGGCTGTCTCATTCTTCGGACCAAAATCTTTAAATCATTTAATTAAAAAAGCTCTAACTCCTATGGCTGCGGGTGGGCTGGCTAATATAAAGTGCCTCGTGCCTCTCATGCATCACACACCTCCCTCCACCCCACAAAGCCTCTCAATCTAGGAAGAAACAACACATGGCACCCAGAGCCATTCAGGATCCATCAGTTTAAGGGAAGGCCAAGGGCCAGTGGTGTGTGTGTGGGGGGAAGATTCCCTAGGCAGGAGGGAGCCATGCCAAAACTCTCTTCTTTCCAGTGGCCAGTTTGGGCTGTGGCTGGATGGAGACTTGTACCGTGGGGGAAGCCACCCCTGTGCAACCTTCGACAATGAGGTACTAGCCGGGCGGGAGCAGTTCTGCGTCCACGAGCTGGAGGCGTGGGTGCTGGGCTGAAGTCCCGTGGCAGACAGCTTCCTGTGGCACTGGGGTTCAGGCACTCCCAGGCTCCTCCACAGGGTGGCTCTGTCAGCCAGGACAGAGATGGCCAAGTGCCCTCGGGCCAAAGGCGGCTGTGAGCCAGCAGCAGCCCACCCCTCCACACCTGCGGACCCAAGACAGGAGTGAAAGATCCCGCCTTCTCACAGCCTCACCCAGGCAGCCTGCGTGGTGAAAATGTTTTTAGAATTCCACGATGAAAGGATGGTACCCGATGACCTCACTCACACATTCACTACAAAGAAGCAAAGCAACGGAACAGACAATACCAACCCAAAGCCAACCACTGGATTCAGATGAAAAGGCTTCAGGTTTTTGGCCGGAGCAAGCGGAGAGGGTGCTCGTCTTGCATGCAAGTGATCCGGATTGGATCCCCAGCACCCCCTATGGTCCTGGGAGCCCCATCAGAAGCCGAGAGCACTGCCAGATATGACATGCCTCCCGCCCTGGAATAAAGAAAAGACTGAGGTCGATGAACAGAGGGTGAGGGGCCCAACAGATGAAGCAGAGGGGCAGCAACCCTTTGGTGGTGGCGTGGTGACTTCTCTTCCTTGGGAAGAGAACTGGAAAAGCCTCTGACATATGTTTCAGGTTAAGACCATGCAATAATCCTCTTTGTGCTGAGGGCTGGAGAGACAGTGCAGGGTTAAGGCAGTAGCATGCAACTGCAGCCTCAGCCCTGGTCTGAATCCTGGCACCCCATTATGGTCCCATGGACAGCCCCAGGTATGGTCCCTGAGTGCAGAGCCAGGAGTGACCCTGAGCACTGTAGGGCATGGTTAAACTCCCTGACCCCACAACTTTCATGCTGAAACCCCTTCAGCTTTATTGCTAAAACATGCTTACACAATGATGTAAACCAATAAATGTAAATCTCAGTATTGATGTCAACCTCAATAAATATATTGATATAAACCTCAATAAAAAATGGTTTAAAAAATACAGTGAGCATGGTTCTTTTTTAGAATGCTGAAGCCTTTCTTTCCACCACCAGTGCACCCGCCAGATGCTTATAAATCCCTCAGTTAACTTCACAGGGAGATATAAAAACAGCAAACGAATAATTTATGTCTTTGGGTAAATAAAGAAGCTGAAGTTGTGGGCTGGAGGGATGGCTGGTGTGCAAGGGTCCCAGGTTTGTCTGGTTTGGGGCCGCACCTGGAGGCGCTCAAGGCTTTCTCCTGGCTCTATGCTCAAGGGTCACTTCTGGTGGGCTCAGGGAACCATATGGGTAGTCCTCATGCCAGGCGAGAGACCTACCTGCTGAACTATCTCTATGGCCCTGGGCCTCAGGTTAGATGCCTAGCACTGCATGGCCTCCTGAGCACCACAGGGGAGGTAAAATAGAACAACAACAACAACAACAACAACAACAACAACAAACACCTTTGGGATCTCTGTGGACCAGTAGCCTAGGGAGGTTAAAAGAGAAGATTTTCTGTTATCATAGTAGCTCAGAAAGCCAATCCAAGAAGAAGTCAGGTCCCTTGCCATGTGAGTAGTTCCCACCTATGAGAAGGAAAAGACTCTTTATTAGGCCATTAATCACTATTATTATTATGGAAAGGCTTTGACGCCACACCTGGGGGGTGCTCAGAAATGACTCTCGGTGGTTCTCAATTTTAGTGCCAAAAATCAAACTGGGTTGTCTGCAATGCAAGGCAAGTGCCTGAGCCCCTGTAACTATTCTTTATGCTCCCATTAATAATCATTATTAGCAAAGGAAAACAAAGTAACACAGGCCTTGTTAAATACAACCCTACTTACGAACCCATCACAGTGAGACATCTTGGGGGGAGGTGGAGACAATCTAGATTGTTTGAAACGAAGGGTAAAAACTGGACACCACTGTACCTGTGAGGTGAGTGCATCAGCAGCCTGATGGCGTCTTCAGACTTCCAGATACCCCAAAATTGCTGCTGTGTCTTTGGCCAAACCCCAAAAACTTGGGGCAAAGTTTACCAAGAAAGTAAACGGCCAAAAGATAGGTATGTGGGAAACACACCCACAAACCACCTCCAGCTTAGCTTTATAATTGGAGGCATGGCCTCTCTGGTTCCTGATTGAACTGCTTAACGGCCATGATCCCAGACTCAGAAACAAATCTCGAAAGCCAGTGGGTTTTGGCAGAAATGCGTCCGATCCCTGCAGTAGGTTACCGGTGCTGGGACAACACAGGTGGGAATAGGCTTCGTGCCTTGGCCTGTTCCCCCTGGCGGCCTGGTGGCCGCCATCCTCCAGAGGCTACTGGACAGTCAGGTTTGGACCCACAGTGACGAGACACACAGGGCCTCATGAGATGGGGTGGAACCGGTCCTGTCTTCCCCACCCCAACAAGACCCCCAAGTCATCGCCCACGAACGGCCTTTGGCTCCTGATCAAGCTGCTTAATGGCCATGATCCCAGAGACTCTGAAACAAATCTCGAAACCCAGTGGCTTTTGGCAGAAATGCATCTGGACCCCACAGTAGGTTACTGTCGCCAGGCCACCCAGGGGGGAAAGGGTGTTGTCACTCTGCCTGCTCCCCCTTGGCGGCTCATTGGCCGTCATCCTCCAGAGGCCACTGGACAGTCAGGCTTGGGCCCGCAGTGACGAAACTTGTTGGGCCTCACGGGATAGGGGTGGAGTTGGTCCTGTCCTCCCCACCCCAATAAGACCCCAAGTCATCGCCCACGAACAGTCTTTCTGGCTCCTGATCAAGCTGCTTAACAGCCATGATCCCAGAGACTCAGAAACAAATCTTGAAACCAAGCGGCTTTTGGCAGAAATGTGTGCGGACCACACAGTAGGTTACTGTCGCCGGGCCACCCTAGCGGGGAAGGGTGTTGTCCGTCCGCTTGCTTCCTTCTGGCGGCTTGGTGGCTGTCATCCTCCAGAGGCCATTGGACAGTCAGGTTTGGGCCCGCAGTGACGAGACATTTTGGGCCTCACAGGACGGGGGTGGAGCCGGTCCTGTCCTCCCCAGCCCAATGAGACCCCAAGTCATTGCCCACGAACGGCCTTTCTGGCTCCTGATCAAACTGCTTAACGGCCATGATCCCAGAGACTTAGAAACACATCTCAAAACCCAGCGGCTTTTGGCAGAAATGCGTCTGACCTTGCAGTAGGTTACTGTTACTGGGCCACCCCAGGGGGGAAAGAGTGTTGTCCCTCCGCTTGCTTCTCCTTGGTGGCTCGGTGGCCATCATCCTCCAGCGGCCATTGGACAGTCAGGTTTGGGCCCGCAGTGACGAGACATTTTGGGCCTCATGGTATGAGGGTAGAGCCGGTCCTGTCCTCCCAACCCCAGCAAGACCCCAAGTCATCACCTACGAATGGCCTTTCTGGCTCCTGATCAAGCTGCTTAATGACCATAATCCCAGAGACTCAGGAGCAAGTCTCAGAACCCAGCAGGTTTTGGCAGAAATCCCTCCAGATTCAAGTGTTAAAATTTCGGAATTTCAAAATCGCAAGGCCACTACTACAGACACGCAACATCATATGTTATTCATAACCTCCAATAGAAAACAAATTGTCTACTGTTGCCTTTTCAGCAGATCTGAGTTTTGGGGTAAAATCTCAAGTAATAATGGTGGGTCTGGTGTCAAAATATTGAATGGGATCAAAGTAGAGAGAGAGTAATGTGGAAATCATCTGCCCCACAGGTAGGGGGAGGGTGTGGGATGGGGGTATACTGGGGTTGTTGGGGGTGGAGAATGGGCACTGGTGAAGGTATGGGTGTTTCATTGTATGACTGAGACTTAGACTCAAAAGTTTTGTAACTGCTCTTATGGTGATTCAATAAATAAAATTATAAAAAATGAAAAAACAAAAAAAACTGGACACTAAAATGAGGGGAAGCCATTAAGAAACATCTTTAGACTCAAGACTGAGATAAATTCATGGTTTATTGCAGCTGTTTCCTTACACAGAGAAGTAAGCAGTCCCTTTAACTTCCAGTTCTATTTACATTCTTAAGGCGACAACATTCTGTAACTCTAGAGGCTGAGTTGTTAAAGACTTTTAAGAAAATGGCACCTGATTGAGATATATCATATATGTTGGTTTTGGGCCACATCTGGTGATGCTCAGGGTTTACTCCAAGCTCTGCACTTAGGGGTCACTCTAGCAGTGCTTGAGGGGCCACACGGGATTCTGGGGATAGAATCTGGTGGGTCGGATGTATGCAGGTGCCACTATCATTCCAGCCGCATGGTTGTCAGAGTTAAAACAGCTGCGAAAACCATAACATGCAGCTGTCTCATAAGTAACAAAAGATGGAACTGAATAAGATTCAAATTGGTTCTTAGAGAAAACAAGGATACAATATATGGACTAAAAAAACTCCAGAGTAAACCACAATGATGTAAACATAGGTGTTACAAAAATAAAACAATCTTAGCAGAAAAGCATTACATTCTTAACCCTGGATTGTGAGACAAATAATTATCCCCACTGAGTAATTTAGAGGCATCCTGGCCAACAGAGATATAACTCAATTTAACAGCTGAACTTGTTTTTTTTTGGGGGGGGCGGGGCGGTGGTAGTGCTTAGGTCTTAGTCCTAGCAGTGCTCACGGAACCATATGGTGTCAGGGATTGAACCTGGGTTGGCCCCAGGCAAAACAAACCCTGCCCACTCACTGTTCCAGCTCTCTGAGCTCTGCTTCCTTCCTTCCTTCCTTCCTTCCTTCCTTCCTTCCTTCCTTCCTTCCTTCCTCCCTCCCTCCCTCCCTCCTTCCCCCCCCCTTTTTTTTAAATGTCATTGAGTCACACCTGATGATGCCCAGTGGTTACTCGGCTGCACTCAGGAATTTCTCCTGGCGGTGCTTGGAGGACCATATGGGATGCTGAGGATCAAACCCACTGTACTATCGCTCTGGCTCCTATGTTCTTTCTTCTTCTTCTTTTTTTATTTTTGGTGATGGTGGGGTATTGGGCCACACTTTGACAGTGCTCAGGAATTAATCCTGTCTCTGCTCAGAGATAACTGCTGGTAAAGCAAAGGAGACTGAGGGGTTCTGGGGATTGAACCCAGCTGCATGTAAGGCAAACCCAATACGAGCTGTATTATTGCTCTAGCCCTCATGTTAGCCTCATGGCTAGGTTTCTATGAGCCCACTCACAGAGCACTGTGGCAGGAATTAGAGAAGGGCTTTCACTTTTCTCCTATAATTTAGGGTCAACCTTTTTGAGGGGCCACACCAGCAGTGCTTGGTGGGTACTCCTGGCTCTGTACTCAGGGAACATTCGTAGTGGTTGCTCGAGGAACCATATGTGATGCTGGGTACTGAACTGAATTGGAGTTGGCTGTGTGTGAGGCAAAGATCTAACCCCTGTAGTATCTCTTTGGACCTTGGGTCACTTCTTTTTTTTACTTTTTGGGTTACACCCAGCATGATCAGGGGTTACTCTTGGCTCTGCACTCATGGTGGTGCTTGGGGGACCATCGGGGATGCCAGGGATTGAACCTGGCTTGGCCCCTTGCAAGGCGAATACCCTCCCCGTTGTACTACTGCTCTGGCCCCTCAATTCTTGATAGGGGGTGATGATCTAGAATGCCAGATATTCCAAATACTTTCACCTCAGCAATAAGTAAATAGAACCTGGCTCACAGAGAAAAATGACAACACCCTAAAGACCTAAATGATCTAATTCTCCACTTCTCTGGGGCCGTGGCTGGCCCTGCACTCCTGACCTAGAAGGGGGCTTTTGTAAGACCCTTAGGTGAAGCTTTAGAGGCACGTGCCTGGGATTCCCCAGTACCAGGCATTTCCTGCCACCGCTGGCTCTGACTCCAGTTCTAGCCTCGGGCCTTGATCAATTTATTCCTTTCTTTTTATTTGATTCCCACGCAGGTTGGCTGTATACAAGGCAAGGGCTTTCCCCACTGTACCATTGCTCTGGCCCCGATTCTGGCCAGAATTTCTGTAGAGGCACAGGGAGGGGCTGAAGACGGTAGGCACGGGAGTATGGCTCAATCAGAAGCTGCCCACTGCGCTGCTGGAGGCAAACAGTGAGTGTGGGAACATCACATTACAAATGGGAACCTGGAACTCCCTCAGGAAGCTTTTACCTCCACATAAGCAGCTTAGACTTTGCGCTGAAATCCATAAACTGCACTGAACTGCAGCTAAGTCTCTGCTGGTCAGCCCTGACCAAGGTTCCGTGAGGACCTCTGTCCAACCCACTGGGCTGATATAGCAGATCAGAGGCATTATCTCCATGCTGAGCAAAGCCCCTGGGACACGGGCAATGAGTGTTCAGGACTTAAAAAGAAACAATGTCTGCAGCCACAACCAACACCAAAAATAGCGTGGTCTGGGTACTCTTCAAACAACAGGAGTAGGGAGTTTCTTGAGCTCTTTTCAAATCTGGGGTGATGGGTGGCTAGGATGTTTTTTGGTTTGGGGTCACACCTGACTATGCTGAGGGCTTGCCTGTGATTCTGTGCTCAGGCAACATTTCTGGCAGAGTTTGGGGAACCATTAGGGTACCAGGGATTGAACCCAGGTCAGCCACATGCAAAGCAAGCGCCTTACCCACTGGCTCCATGGCTAGATTTGGTTTTCGGTGTTGAGCCTTGTCTCATTTCCAAATTAAAACAATAACAACAAAAAAACAATCATATGTCCTGAGAGTTAAGAGTACATCAAAAAATTGTTATTCTAAGAAAATAGAATACTAAAAGAGAAAGGCTTCCGTTAGTATTAAAAATTAGCAAAATAATGTAAAGAATACTGCCTAATGTCTTTTTCCTTGAATAAAAATTTCTTAGCTTCAGCATTCAAAATACAGAATGAAAGTACTAGTTGTCACTAAATTTGTGAAACTGCAACCAAATTCCTAAAGCAATCAGTTGTGTTGGAAGAAGCAAGAGCGTTTCTGTAAACACTGATTGCAGACATCCATACCACTCATTAGAAATGCAGCCGTGTTCTGACAGACGTTCCCCGGATTCCAGCAGGACTATGGGGTAAACCCGTGAAATTCCACTCCTGTTTTCGAGGTGTTATAAGGGGGGCAACCACATCGCCATCCTGTCATGGAGAGAAAAACTAGAAACAGAAAATCCAGTTTTCATATGTGCAGTGAAATCTTAAGCATGCGCTTCTTACTCCTGCAGGTAGACTGCTTCTAGATAGACTTCCTCTGGGGAAACCCCACATCATACATACCCAGATATAAACTCTATGCTTGGGTCACATTAGAAGACCACAGTCAGGTAAGACACTCATTGAAAAGGCCACCAGAAAGATCTTCACCAAGCTGTACACTGCCTGAGTCTGTAACCCAATGCTTCTCTTCCTTCATACGCCTTTCATGAACCAGTGTGTCCTGTTTTCCAGAAAAGGCAATATGTCTCCTGCCTAGTCCTCCTGAAGTAAATGGTCCTGGTTATATAGCAAATAATGGCAAAGATAGTATATATCTGCAGTTCTTGAACTTTTCTTCAAAAAGCTGTAATTAATTTTTTTTTTTTGGCGTGTATGTGTGGGGGGCAGTGGTGGTGGTGGGAGGGTATATTTTGGTCACGGCCTGTTGTGCTCAGGAGCTCTTCCTGGCTCTCTGTTCAGGAGTTGCTTCTGGGATGCTCAGTCACATGAAAGGCAAGCACACCTAAATCCCTGTGCTATAACTTTAGCCTTTTTGTTTTGCTTTGGTTGGGGGCCACACTTTTGTATTGCTGTTGCCCAGGGGTTACTCCTGGCTCTGCACTCAAAATTATTCCTGTCTGTGCTAGGGGTCCTATATGGGATGCCGGGGATTGACCCTGGGTCAGCCGTGTGCAAGGCAAGTGCCCTACCTGCTTTACTATCGCTCCAGCCTCTCCAGATCCTTTGTGTCTAGTTTTAATTTATAAAGATCGCCCCCAAGAGTGAATGGGACTGGGGGACGCCCTACAATGCATGGCCTGGAGGTGCTTAGGGGATTTAGGTGCTTGCCTTACTTGCTGTATTATCACTTTGGGCCCCTGGTGAGGATTTGTTTTCAGTGTTGAGCCTTGCCTCATCTCCAAATTAAAGACAACCACCACCACCACCACCACCACAATAATATGTCCTAGGAGTTAAGAGTTCATAAAAGAATTGGTTTTTTAAGAAAATAAAATACTAAGGGTTCTGGAAATCTAACTCGCTGGCATCTCACATGCTAAGGCATGATATCTAGTACTCAAGCTATTTACCAGCCTACAAAGATGTAACTTTGAGCCCCCAACTGCCCAAATGAGGGATGGCCTAGAATGAACTGACACTGGGTCTTAGGAGCAGAGGATGTAAGAAGCTGGAACACTGGGGGCTGGAGAGATGGCACAGCTTTGCTTATTTTTTGGGGGGGAGGGTCACACCCAGCAATGCACAGGGGTTACTCCTGGCTCTACACTCAGGAGTTACTCCTGGCGGTGCTCAGGGAACCACATGGGATGCTGGAAATCGAACCTGGGTTGGCCGCGTGCAAGGCAAACGCTCTACCTGCTGTGCTATCTCTCCAGCCCCGAGATGGCACAGCTTTGCACATAGGAAGCCTGGGTTTGATTCCTAGCATGCCCAGTCCCCTGAGCATAGCTGGGAGTGACCCCACAATTATAAACAGTTTTGAGCACCGCCAGGTATGGCCCCCAAACTAAAAATATCCACCCTAAAATCTCAAACAGATACTTCAATTATACTTTCAATGAGAACTTTTCAAAGAGAAGTAAAGATCAAGGGCCAGAGAATTAGTACAATGAGTAAGGTCCTTGCCTTGAAAGTGGCTGACCTGGGTTTAATTCCGGACACTCACATGGTCCCCCGAGCCCTTCAGGAAAGATCCCAGAGCACAGCTGAGTGTGGCCCAAACATAAAACATAACTCCGCCCCAGAGTAAAGATCTTATTTGCTTTCTATTTAAAAATAAAAAATTATGTAAAGTATGTGAACAAAAAGCCACTCACTCACCTGTGGTTTAGTGAAATTTCTCAATAAGCACCACTGAACAAAATGTTGCCGTGCTTTATGTAAACTTTTTTCATCCATCTTTTTGCAGTATACTCGAATCAGCTGTTCTGCAAATCTCTCTGGTAAAAGCTGTGAGACCTTTTTAAAGATAAAAACATTTTACTATTAGGGCTGGAGTGATAGCACGGCAGGCAGGGCTTTTGCCTAGCACGTGGCTGACCCGAGTTTGATTCCCAGCATCCCATATGGGCCCTCAAGCACTGCCAGTAATTCCTGAGTAATTCCTGAGTGCAGAGCCAGGAATAACTCTGTGCATTGCAGAGGGTGACCCAAAAACCAAACCAAACAAACAAACAAACAAAAAAACACCCTTCCAAAAAAACCGTTTTACTATCACCTTGAATTCACACATGAAAAGAAATCAGCTACTCCCTAGAGTCCCAAGCTTCATTTTTTTTTTTAAGACAGGCAGTGAAGTAAAACAGATTTTATTTGGAGGATTTTAAGGTGTGGAGGGAGAGAGGGTGAAACAGAGAGAGCAATGCACTCAAGAGAAAACGCGGGCTTCTCCAAGGGCGGAGAGAGCCCCTACATACATCCTAGCACGAAAGCACGAAAGTCCACATCTCAAGAGGGGAGGTGCAGGCAACACATGTGCTTGGCCGCGTGGGTGCAAGCAGCACACAACTCGGGCAGAACAAGCGCCTCAAGCTTCATTCTTGATGTTATATTAAAAGAATCACATGATTTTATTATTTTTATCCCACGATTTTATGGGATTTTATGATTTTATTATTTTTATCCCGAGATCTCCAAGCCTACTCGGATTGGAGTCGAGCATCCTCCACCCAGATCCTCCAAATTCCAGTAGGCGGGGGTCACACCCACCAACTGGCCCCCTGGTGCCGTGTAATCCCATCAGCGGCCAAGACTCAGAGACTATAAAAGCCAGCTCCCGGAGGGAGAACAGTGCAGTCTCCTGCCCCTGCGCCTGGCTATTCCTCGCCGGGGCCCCTTGGAGGGGAGCGGGTTGAGCTTTCCTCCCCGCCCTGACCAGGGCCCCGGCAGGCGAAGACCTCCAGGACCAGCCACCACCATGCTGAGACCACTCTCCGCACACCTGAAGGTACCGGCAGAGGGACAAAGCCACGTGGGTTCTGGGGCTAAGATCTCCAAGCCTACTCGGATTGGAGTCGAGCATCCTCCAACCAGATCCTCCAAATTCCAGTAGGCGGGGGTCACACCCACCACCTGGCCCCCTGGCGCCGTGTAATCCCATCAGCGGCCAAGACTCAGAGACTATAAAAGCCAGCTCCCGGAACCGAGCGGCCGCATTCGTGGCCTCGCGACATCTTATTATGACATCTCATTCCTACTTTGACAAACTGGCAGGCTACCGAATGTAGCCTGCCCACACGGCAGAGTCTGGCAAACTCCCCGTGGCGTACCCAATATGCCAAATACCAGTAACAATGATGGGTCTCATTCTCCTAAAGAGCCTTGAATATAATCTCAGGGCTAGGATGAAGGAGACGTTACTGGGGCCTGCTCGAGACAATCGACGAATAACAGGATGATCTGTGATCTGTGATCCCACGATTTTATATCAATAAGACTAGAGGGAGGAGTATGTCCTGTGTACAGTAAGTGTGATCTAGTCCCACGCTCCCAAAGAAAAGTATATATGGACTACAGATTCTCATACAGAAGAGATACAAAAAAACATTTCATTTATATGACTTCCACTAAATTTTTGTTGTTGTCATTTTGGTTTGGGGCTTGGGAATGAGCCAAACTGGAGTCACCTACTGTCACGACTTCCACTAATTTTCCAAACAGATTTATAACCTCACTTCTAAAGCAAAAATGGCACTATCATATTTAGGAAACAGGAAGGACTGGCTGTTAAGGTGGTCTAGTCCAGTGGTTCTGAACTACCAGGATGACGATCACTGCAAGTCTAGAGGTGTAAAAAAGGTGAGGAACCACTGGTCTAGTCTACACAAAATCAGGTAGGCTTTAATTTTAAAATTTAGTTTATTAATTTATTATTATTTTGTGGGGGAGGCACACCTGAAGGTGTTCAGGGATTACTTCTGGCTCTGCTCAAGAGTCCTTCCAGTAAACATAGTTGGACACATGTAAGGCAGTCACCTTACCTGCTGTACTATCTCTCTGGCCTTAGTTTTTGTTTGTTTTTAGCTACATCTGGCAGTGTTCAGGGCTTACTACTAGTTCTGTTCTTAGGGGTCACTCCTGGCAGTGCTCAGCAGAACTTATGTGGTGCCAGGGATCAAAACTGGGTTGATCGCATGCAGATAAAGTACTTTAGACACTTCACTATTGCAATGCTCTTCACTCCCCCTCACTCCAGTTCCAGTAGGATTTTTTTTTTGGGGGGGGTTGGGTCATACTCAGTGATGATCCTGGCTTTGCACTCAGGAATTACTCCTGGGTTGCTCAGGGGACCATGTAAAGTACCAGGGATCAAAGCTAGGTCAGCAGCATATAAGGCAAATGCCCTACTTGCTATACTGTTGTTCCAGCTCCTCTAGCGTTTTTTTTTGTTTTTAACATTGACTTTACAACCGTAACTGTATGCAAAAATGACAATTTACTCTAAAGATTTACCAAATGCCACCAGAGGCTATTTGAATAAGACATTACCTGATTTCTCGAAATCTTGATTGCTTTATTGATGTCACTCTTACAATAGAAGTCAACAAGATCAATTGGATTCCTGTCTTGCATTCCATAATCCATGCTGATAACCTTCACAAAAGCAGCAAATAAGAGATCACTTATATAGCAAACATGAGAACTAAGTTCAGGGTTGTAAAACATCACAACGCATGTAGCATAGGTCTCTGGAGGATCTGAAGTAAAAGTACTGGGAAAGGGACTCAGTGCAAAGAAGACTCCAGTGTATGACCTGTAGGGATCTGGTACTGAAATCTGGGGATATGTGTGGTTCAATCTGTGTGTGTGTGTGTGTGTGTGTGTGTGTGTGGGCGGGGGGGAGGGGAGAAGGGGGGTAATTTGTGCTTTCATTATAAATTTCTAAATTTAGTTGTTGTTGTTTTGGGACACAACCAGAAGTGCTCAGGGCTTACTTCTGGCTCTGAAACCAGGAATCACTTCTGGTGGGGTTTAGGAAATGATATGGAGTGCTGTGAATCGAACCCGGGTTGACCGCATACAAGGGAAACAAATGCTTTACCTGCAGTACTATCCCTCTGGCCCCAAGTCTGTAAATTTTATACTACAGTCACTGGTAGGCACTAAAGATACAACAAGAAAATCAGATATAATCCTAGCCACCACAGACCATGTAGCCTAAATGGAGAGTAAAAAAATAATTAGAAAAGCATTTATTCAATTTATTTAAGACTTTCAAGGAAAAATTTTAACAGGGGAATGTAATCTAGATCAATTTCTTTCTTTTTTAAGAATTAAAAAATTTCTAAAAAATTTAATTTAATTTATTTTATTTTTATAATATTTAAAATTTATAAAATTTTGATAGCACTACGGTAGGGCGTTTGCCTTGCACGCAGCCAACATGGCCGACCCGAGTTCGATTCCTCCGCCCCTCTCGGAGAGCCCGGCAAGCTACCGAGAGTATCTTGCCTGCACGGCAGAGCCTGGCAAGCTACCCGTGACATATTCGATATGCCAAACATAGTAACAACAAAATCTCCTATGGAGACGTTACTGGGCCCGCTCGAGCAAATTGATGAACAACGAGAGGGCCTTTACTTTATTTACTTTACTTATTTTTATAAAATTAAAAATTTATAGCCTTATTTTATTTTTATAAATTGTTCACAATACAATAGGTCTCATTCCCCTGACCCTGAAAGAGCCTCCAATCATTAGGAAAAGACGAATAAGAAGAGGCTACTAAAATCTCAGGGCTGGGAGGAATAGAGACATTACTGGTGACCGCTCGACTAATTCGATGATCAATATGATGACAGTGATACAGTGACAGTTCACAATAATTTATTACATTCAATTTTCCAACACCAATCCCACCACCATTATACCTTCCCACACCATTATTTCAGATTTCCCACCAGCACCCAAGCTTTTGCTAAAAGCAGGTGCTAAATAATTTATTTTGTATTGCTTGTTATGAATACTCTGCTAAAAATAATCCAAAAGTGACCCTAGAGCAAAGTGTGTGAAGACTGTTGTATTTCACCCTGGAGCCATTAAGCCCTTTTATAGGTGATTATTAACATGTTGTTATAGGTTAAGCCTAGTGTGCTTATACTTTTTTGGATGAATTATTAGTTGCCTTCTACTTTACACACCATCAAATGTGGTGTGCTATGCTCTCTAGAAATTCTAAAATTTTAAATAGGGTGATACAGTTGGAATTAATTTTTTTTTCGCTTTTGGGTCATACCCAGAGATGCTCAGGGGTTCCTCCTAGCTCTGTGTGCAGGAATCACTCCTAGCGGTGCTCAGGGGACCATATGGGATGCTGGGGATTGAACCCAGGTCAGTCGCATGCAGGACAAATACCCTATTGACTGTACTATGACTCCAGCCCCTGAGGTTAAACTTTTAATTGGATGGTGACTTGGGGGTCTGGAAGGATCTCTGTAGCTTGCTGTTCTCTTCTGAGATTTATAAGTGAGTCTCTGGATTATGACCATAAACTCATTACCAATGAGCTTATATTGTGCCAGAGGCAGTTCATGGGTGTGACTGCCAGGCTAGACCAATTTCTTATGTAAAATAGATATATATTAGACTGGGAAATGGCTGAGAGGGCTGGAGCATGTGCTTTGCATGTAGGAAGTTTGAGTTCAATTCCTGGCACAACACAGTCCTGAGCACAGCCAGGAATGAACTCTAAGCAAGAAGACAAGTGGAGCCCCTTAATAGTTGGATGTGTATCCCAAATTAAAAACAAAGAAATTTGTTTCTTTTTTTGGGGGGGGGTCACACCCAATGATGTTCAGTGGTTATTCCTGCTCTGCACTCAGGAATCAGTCCTGGCAGTGCTCAGGGAACCATATTGGATATCAGGGATCAACCCAACGAGGGTGCGTGTAAGGTAAAAACCTTACCCACTGTACTATCTCTCCAGTCCTTATTTGAATTTCTTACTGTGGAGGGTGTGTGTGTGAACACACTCACTGGTGTTCAGGGCTTACATACTCCTGGTTCTGCACTCAGAGATCACTCCTGGCAGTGCCTGGGGGAATCATGTGTGGTGTTGGGAATGAACCTGGGTTGGGTATGTGCAAGGCAAGCACCTTACCTGCTGTACTATCTCGCTGGCCCTAAAAGTTATTTTTTAAAAACTAGGCACACAACTCAAAGGCGAATGTGCAATAATTGCCTGGGTTTAGTTGCCGGCATGATCCTCTGAACACTGCCAGGAGAAACCCCCAGGAGTAGTGGCCTCAGAACACTGCCAGATGTGGGTTCAAAATAGAACAGGGAAATTTCAAATGATAAAACATTCTCTTCATATACTATGAGGCTAACTACTTACATCCACTATGAAATCTTCATCTTTCAGTTCAGGTTCCTGTTCAGCTTCTGGAAATACTCCCTCAGGTTTAGCATCGGCAACCTCTTTTGGAAGGTGATTAAATTCTTCCTAGAAATGACAAGATTCTTCATGTTAGACTCTTAAGTTTGCCTTTTCCCCGCTTTGGTCTTATAAAAGCTTTTTATTTTTGGTAACACAAATATCTTTCTTGGGAAACGTTAGCAAAACAAGAGGGTCAAAGGTTTTATCACTGTCACTGTCATCCTGTTGATCGTCGAATTACTTGAGCAGGTGCCAGTAACGTCTCTATTCCTCCCAGCCCTGAGATTTTAGCAGCCTCTTCTTACTCATCTTTTCCCAATAACTGGAGGCTCTTTCAGGGTCAGGGGAACAACACCTGTTGTTGTTACTATATTTGGTGTATCGAATACATCACAGGGAGCTTGCCAGGTTCTGCCCGTGTGGGCAGGATATTCTCGGTAGCTTGCCGGGCTCTCTAAGAGGCATATATTTACATATTTGTCTATGATTTCTTGCCTTACTGTCTGAACCCTATCAGATATGGTGTAGTAATTGTGAAAAATGGGTAGGAAGTGTCGTGTGGCGATGGTTGGGTAGTGGAGGTCCGCTGTCGGGGCTGGGTCCTTTGGAGTGGGGAGGGCTCTCACCCGCCCCACAGCCTGGCGTGGAGTCCGGCGGCATGGTTCTGTGAGCCTCATTTTATACTGCCGTCTGGGAGGAGCATCCTGATTTCTGTCCATTTCCCAAACCTGTTCTTTTTGGAGGGGAGGGGGCGGTGGCACACTGGCACACCTGGTGGTGCTCACGGCTTACTCTTGGCTGTGTGCTCAGGGGTCACTCGTAGAGGTGCTTGAGATGGGTTGCTAGGGACTGAACCCAGATTCATTACATACAGGAAAAGCACCCTGCCTTGCTTTCCTTTTTCCTCCTGCTTTGTACAAGCCCTGGTGTCCAGATCAGCTAAGACTTGATTCAGGCCAACATCCTTACATTGGTCACCATTAATCAGAGAAAGCAAAGCTGTTGAGAATCCCCAGATGTATTTGAGGTGATATTGTCCAGATCTCTCTTAGTTCTTCTCTATACACTCTTTTTTGCTTATCTGTTTTTGTTGCTGCTGTTGTTGTCTATTTTGGGGTTGCACCCGGTGGTGCTCAGTTTACTGCTGGTTCTGCACTAGGGGATCCCTCTTGGTGGGCTCTGGGGACCATATGAGGTGCTGGTGATGAAACTCGAGACCCTGTGTGCAAGGCAAGCACCCAACCCACTATACACTCTCCAGCCCTTTTCTGTTAGTTCTTCACGCCAAGATTTCATTCAGAGCATCTTCCTCAGGTGCAGCACCCTTCTTGGCAGTGTAGAGTTCATAAGCATCAAACTAAACTTAGAGTTTTCAACAGAGCCAGGGCAACTTCCTCAATGTTGTGACCTGTGAGTACTTCCATACAGATACGTCCAGGGCATCCCTTTTTCCTGGAGAAATGTTGCTTTGATCTGTTGATGCTATGCCTTATATTTTTTTTAGTAAGAAGTCAATGATGGTTGCTTCATCTACAACTTTAACTGTTAATCACTTTATCTTTTAGATTTTGGGGGAACTGCTGACCGCGTTATCTTTTAGATTTTGGGAGGGGCCACACCTGGTTTTGCTTTGGGCTTAGTCCTAGTTCTGCGCTCAGAGATCACTTCTGGTGGTACTAAGAAGACTATGGGGTGCCAGGAATTAATCCTGGGAAAGTGCCTTTGCTGCCCTATCACTATACCCCCTTTGTCACTGCTGTATGACAAGCTTCAATAACTGAAGATAGTCTAAAGGTAGGATAACGTCTTTTGCAGACTCAGGATGACTTCTGGATTCTTTCTCAATTTTTTTTTTGGGATGGGGGAAGCCACACCCAGTGATGCTCAGGGATTACTCCTAGCTCTGCATTCAGAAATTATTCCTGGTAGTGCTCAGGGGACCACATGGGATTCTGGGAATTGAACATGGAATGACTGCATGCAAACCAAGTGCCCTATTCACTGTACTATGACTCTGGCCCCTCATTTCACAGTTTCAATGTATTTTGCCCTTCATTATCAATTTACCAGGTCTTCTTAGATTGTTCTGATACCCCAGACATTTATTTACCCCCTTCTTCCAAAGAACTAAAGAGATTCTTCTCTGAATATTTAGCACTCAGAACCCTAGCTTTTTACCATTAAGTATAACTGTCACAAAGAGAGTCTCCCTCTAAAATTGAAAATTTACTTTCAAAAAGGTGGTTAGAGATACTTTTTACCAATATTTTGCTTTTAACAATGTCATCTTTTAATCAAATTTTAACAAAACAATTTTCACAACAAAAATTTTCACATTAAAAAAGTGCAGTTGGGGGCTGAAGAGACTGCATAGCAGGTAGGGCAGTTGCCTTGCATAAAGGTGACCTGTGTTCCATCCCTGGCATCCTATATGGTCCTCTAAGCTCCCAGGTGTGATTTCTGAGTGCAGAGTCAGGAGTGAGTGCTGAGCACTGCTGGGATGCCAGATATTGAATCTGGGTTGGCCACATGCATGGCAAGCATCTTAACCACTGTACTACTGGCCTGGCTCCTAGAAGTTGTATCACCCTACCTCCAAGTTTTAGGAAACGATCACTGTCACTGTCCTCCCGTTGTTCATCGATTTGCTCGAGTGGGCCCAGTAACACTGTGAGACTCGTTACTGTGTTTGGCATATTGAATACGTCACGTGTAGCTTGCCATGCTTTGCCATGCGGGCAAGATGCTCTTGGTAGCTTGCTGGGCTCTCCAAGAGGGGCGGAGGAATTGAACTTGGGTCAGCCATGTTGGCCGCATGCAAGGCAGCCCTACTAGCTGTGCTATCGCTCCAGCCCAGGAAACCATATTGTAGCATATGAAATTCTAATTTTTAAGAGATCTGTAAAAGACAACAATAGCCTGTAGCACTGTCCTCCTGTTGTTCATCAATTTGCTCGAGCAGACACCAGTAACGTCTCCATTGTGAGACTTGTTGTTACTGTTTTTGGCATATCGAATATGCCACGGGAAGCTTGCCAGGCTCTGCTGTGTGGGCGGGATACTCTTGGTAGCTTGCCGGGCTCTCTGAGAGGGATGGAGGAATTGAACCTGGGTCGGCTGTGTGCAAGGCAAACGCCCGAACCGCCGTGCTATTGCTCCAGCTCAAAAGACAACAATACCACGATAAAAAGTAGTATTTAAAAATTTTTGGTTTTGTTTTGGGGACATACCTGTCAGTGCTCAGGGCTTACTTCTGGCTCTGCTCTCAGGGATCCTGGGAGTGTTTGGGGGATCTATATGGGATGCTGGGATTAAATCCAGTTCGGCCATGTACAAAGGCAATCATTCTGCTGTACTACTGTTCCAGCCCCATATTTTAAACTTTTTATTTATTTATTTCTTTTGGGTTATACCCAGATATGCTGTGCTTGCTCTTGACTTTGCACTCAAATCACTCCTGGTGGGGCTTGGGGACCCTACGCGGTGCTGGGGGTTGAATCTGGGTTAGCAACATGCAATGCTGTACTCTCTCCTATCCCAGGAAAATATTTTTTAACTAAAATTTTAAAAAAATTTAGGGGCTACTTATATTACCATTGGTTTCTAATGGACATAATTCTGACACCACACCCACACCAGTGTAACTATCTCCCTCTCCTCCCTGCTGAACCCATTCTCCCTCCCTCCCACAACCCAACTCAATTAATTGTGTGTCAATTCTATTACATTACCTTTGGATCTTTTTCTTTTTCTTCTTCTTCTTCTTTTTGCCTCACTTGGCAATACTCAGGGCTTACTCCTGGCTCTGCACTCAGAAATTACTCCTGGTGGTGCTTGGGGCACCATATGGGATACTGGGGTTTAAACCTGGGTCAGCCACATACAAGGCAAGCTCCTTACTTGCTGTACTATCTCTCTAGCGCCTGCTTTTGGACCCATGTTGCTGCTTTGCTATGTGTCTTTAAGTCCCACATATGAGAGGGATCAGGAAAACAGTATTTTTTAAAAAACCAGACAGGGGGCTGAAGAGATAAGATAGTATAGCAGGTAAGGAGCTTACCTTTCATGTGGCCAAGCCAGGTTCACTTCTAGTACCCCTCACAGTCCCCTGAGCCATGCCAGGAGTAACCCCTGAGCACAGAGTCAGGAGTAAGCAGTGAACACTGATGCCCCCAAAACAAAACCAAACCAAAACTAAACAGAAGGGGACTGGAGAAACTGTACAAGCACAGGGGGCAGGGCGCCTGCCTTTAACTTTATCTCAGGCCTTGACGCTAATTTTTTTAAAAAGTAGTGGAGAGCTGGTCAAAGAGCTCAATTGAAGGAGGCCACGTTCAGCAGTACACCAGCCCCTCCAGTAGGTGCCAGCAGTGCGGCACAGGGATAGCTTTTTTATGCACTTTTTTTTTTTAGGGGGCCACACCTGGTGGGGCTCAGCTTAGATACATGGTGTCAGGAATAGAACCTGGGTGTGCAAGGCAAGTGCCTTACCAGCTGAAGTATCTCTCTGGCCCCACCTAAGAAATGGCCCAAAACCATGCCTACTTTGGCCACACAGACAGAAATGAAGTGGATTTTTCTTTGAATTCTTTCATTACAGATGAACATTTGGGGATGAAATCTACCCTGACAGCATGAAGGCAACATGATATGTCTGTTGAATGACAACAGCAATTCAGGGAGGATTTATTAAAGCAAACTGAATATATAAATGCTAGTCTATAAGTAGAAGATAGAGGCTTGTTTATTGTCTAGCCAAATATCTATTGTTAAAATAAAGGTTATGCAAAATATGAGATTAATACCCAAGAATAGCTGATATCAACACCAGGAGGATTACTCCATAGCTTAGAGGCCAGCCAGGCATTCTAGGGGAAAGGGCAGCTCAGATAGAGAAGGGAGCACCAAATAAAGGGTGTTTGGAGGATCCTCCCAGGAGGGGAGATGCATGTTGAAAGTAACTAGGGACTGAACATGTTTGCCACTCAAAGCCTCTTTTGCAGACCACAACACTCAAAAGGAGAGAGAGAACACAAGGGATTGCCCTGCCACAGAGGCAGGGTGAGATGGGAGGGATGGGGGTGGGAGGGATATTATCCATGGTGGTGGAAAATGGGCACTGGTGGAGGGATGGGTATTTGATCATTGTATAATCGAAACCCAAGCACAATTATAAATCTACAACTGTACCTCATGGTGTTTCACTAAAAAAAAAAAAAAAAAAAAAAGGTTATGGTCTTTACCACTGGGTGTGGACTCATACCACACCCCCTCCCCAAAAAGCAAATTTTAAAGAGATCATGTTGAATGTTTACAGGGTGCAATACTATGCATACAAAATAAATTATTATTATGTTTTTTAATGTGTGTTAGGGCTAGAAAGATAATATAGGGGTTTAACTGCTTGGCGTGCAAGTGGTTGGCAGGCCTGGATTTGATGCTTGGTACCATATAAGAGCACAAAGTCAGGAGTAGCTCCTGAATAGTGCTGGAGGTGGCTCAGAAATTCATGATTAAAATAACATACCATCATTATAAGTATTAATAGGCAGGACTGGTTATCAGCACAGCTTGTGTTACTGGCTGACAGAGAAAAAACATCAAGCAGAAAAAAACAGATATCTGAAGTAAAGGCATGTGCCATCTGGAAGAACCTGATATGCAATAAAAGTAACAGTTATAAACAGGGTCCCCAGAATTACAATGACACTCATGAAAATACCTTATTCTGACTTCCCCTTTCCTTACACTCATTTTTTTGGAGGACTCATTTTTATGCTTTTTGATTTTTAGCCATACCCAGCAACCGGGTTTAATTCCTCCGTTCCTCTTGGAGAGCCCTGCAAGCTACCAAGAGTATCCCGCCCACATGGCAGAGCCTGGCAAGCTCCCCATGGCATATTCAGTATGCCAAAAACAGTAACAACAAGTCTCACAATGGAGACGTTACTGGTGCCCGCTCGAGCAATCGATGAACAACAGGACAACAGTGCTACAGTGCTACAGCCATATCTGGCAATGCTCAGGGGTTACCCATGGCTCTGCGCTCAGTAATTACTCCTAGCGAGAGCTTGGAGAATCATGTGGGATGCCAGGAATAGAACCCAGGTTGGCCACATGCAAAGAAAATGCCCTCCCTACCCACTGCACTATTGCTCCAGTCCCACATTCATTTTCTGACAATGGATCTAGCCAAAATATGAAGTACCCTCTCACTGTTGCAATGACAGTAAAGCTTAAAATTAGACTTGGTTTTCAGCGTACTTGTTGGTTTGATTTTGAGCCCCACCTGCCAGTGCTAATAGCTCATCCCTGGCTCTGTAATTTGGGATCATTTCTGGTGGTGTCAGGATCCATCTGGGGTCAGCCGTATGTAAGGAAAGTGCCTTAACTGTGGAACTGTCTGGCCCCATTGACGTGGCTTTGAATCTGGCTCACTGTGCTCACCAGTTACTGCATCTCTCCCAAGATTTACTATCTTCTTCTACAGGACAGATGTTAACAACATTATTGGTGTGAAGATTAAGTGAAAATGAATGTAAAGGTCTTAAAATAATAAAACGGATAGATGAATGGTTTCCCTTTGGAGGACAGAGAACCTTTCTCAACAGAAAGGCCTTGTCACTTTACTTACCTTTTGAATCCTTATTTGTTTCATTGGCTGAGTCTCACCCACATACTTGTACAGTTCACGGCATTCAATTTTTTTTAAAATCTTTTGTGCTGCCTCCAAATTGGGATCATTAGAGTACAGAATCTGTTGATAAACATTATCTGCCAATGTAATAAAAATTTTATTACAATAAAATATAATCAAAATTTAAAATGATTCATATTCATATCTTACTATTCTTCATTATTATTTTGGGGGGGACTCCCAGTTCTCAATAATTCTTTAAGTATTATTCCCAGATTTTGCAAAAACTACACAATTTTATTTCAATATTATAAGATCAGTTTTCTTCTTCCTCTTTTTTGCTTTTTGGGTCACACCCAGCAGAGCTCAGGGCTTACTCCTTGATCTGTGCTCATGGATCATTCCTGGAAAGGCTCAAGAGACCATAGGGAGTGCCAGGGTTAGCACTAAACCTGATTAGATTAAACCTGGGTTAGCCCTGTTCAAGGCAAATGCCTAACCCATCGCAAATGCCTTACCTGTCTCAGACCATAGTTTTCCAGTCTATACTTTTAATCTAGGAGGGGCTCAAGAGATAGTACAGGGGTTAAGGCACTTGCCAACCCATATTTGATCCCTGGAACCCACATGGTATCCTGAGCATCACAGAAGTGATCCCTAAGCACAGAACAAGGAGTATGCCGTGAGCACAGCTAGGTACTGTCCATCACCACCTCCCATATAAATCGTTTTAAAAAATTAATGGTACTGTGTTGGAATACAAGGAGCTTAAGTTTATCAGGTTGCACCCATCACAGAGTCACTTCCACTCCTTTGTCTGTAACCACTTCTCTATGCTCTCTTCCCCAACCAGTTAATCAGCTTTCCCCCAATCAGAATCTGTTAATTTGTAAGGTCTCATCCTTTGAGGACACCGAACTTGTATTGTAAGTTAATATTGCCTTTCTTCTCTCCTTATGTCTTTTGAATAGTTTACTTTGATGCAATGTCCTTTTTGTATAGATGCAGGAAGACAATTACTATTATGCTTTGTAACTTAGGATTTAATTGGCTTTGAATATTATTCACTCCCAGGCATCTGCTTTCTCAACTTAAGAAGCCTCAGTTGCCCTCACTTCCTAGCACCCTCGAGGGCAGGGTTCCGACAGGGACTAGATGGAACCAGGACAAGGCAGTAAGTTATATGCTACCCTGGCATCGAGATGGGCCAGGCCAAGGTGCCAAGATTCTTAACTATAGGTTAAAAGTTTGATCATAGGCAAATGCTGTCATGATCCAAAAGTAATGACGAGACTAGGACCCTGCTAGGAATAGGAAGGACTATCTGGCCTGAGCGCTGTAGTCTGAGGTCGAGATGGCCCTAGGAGAGCAATTCTATAAGCTTAAGGTATTCCTTACTATGTTCATACAAAATGATTTATATTATGTATGCTTATATGTTTGTTGGACAAGGAGAGGAGAAACACACCCAGGGGATTCCATTCTAGGGTGAGTTGGTCTGCTAAATGAGAATCTGCCCTAGAAGCTGCTTTCCTGTGTGTCCTGACTAGTTTGGATGAGGCTGAACATTTCTCCCCTTCAAACTGCCTTCAGTAAATAATTTCAGTATATTCTAAGGGCAGTTTTCCTTTTCTCATAGATCTCAGGTGCTTGCCAGGCCTGATCTTTGGGATGTAGATTCCAGGCTCTAGGCAAGCTAGTCTTTGGGATGCAAAGCTCAGATAACTTGTCTTTGGAAATGTAGATTCCAATCTCTAGCAGACTGGTCTTTGGGATGCAAATCCCAGTGCTTGTAGCTAGCCAAAGTGCTTGTGAAAAGTTTCAGTCTTGGTTTTGTATCTTCTTTCCTGAGGTCAAAATTACTGGCCTGCAGATGTAAAGAAACAACGTATGTTTTGCGCCTCAATGTTCTTTCTGTAACTCCTTTTGATGACATCACTGTATTGCGCTCTTTAGAGGTACCATGATCTATTTAAGGAGATTTTCAGGGCTCTCTGGGAGAACATGTGCTATAGAGAACCTGAGGAACACGTGTTTGAGAGAACTTAGAGAATGGGGAACACTGGCCTGAGAGTACCTGGAGAGCACGGGTGCTTGAGAGATCTTGGGCCCTCCATGACATAAATTTCTTCTATGTAATAAACTGCTACTAAGACCAACAAGCTTGGCCCTCGTTTCCTTCCTTCGCCTGCCCATCACCATCAATCTCCCTGGAGTGGGGAAACAGCCTGGGACTACCCAACGAGGGCGGAGGGGGAGATAAGCCGCCTCAGTCCCTTTTGTGTTTACATCCTCTTTTTGTGTTTACACAGTACTGTATCCCCTGATCACATAATTTTACTTCCTAAAAGCCTATCTAACCCTTGAGATTATCTCCAAGGCAGATGTACTACTTGTCATTAATGGAAAGGGATAAACTACTGATGCATGCAATCTTCATGAAATTAAAAGGAAATGTGGAGACAGAGAAACAAAACAAAACAAAAGAAAAAAGGAAATGTGGAGCAACTGGAGAGTTAACACAGGCTTAAAGCACTCACCCTGTATGTGGCTGACCTGGGTATGATTCCTTGCAGTGCGTGGTCCCTGACCACCACCAGAAGCAACCCCAGAGTCCACTCATCCCTCCCCAAAAGCAAAGAAACAAAGTCAAAATTTCTAAAGGCCTATTGATAATCTGAAGTGTACTGAACCTGAGTTTGTGCCAATTGTTTTATGATCTCTTCCATCCCTATCAACATGCAAATGGGAAACTAGTTTATATACAATGAAGTTATTAAGTCAAAATAAACAGTTTAGATATACATGCTCCTTGTATCTTGGTAATCAATCCAAAATAGATTAACAGGCAAGAAGCAAACTCACATGTCACACTGTAAACCTATATATATATATAGATATTTTTTTTTCTTCTTGGGTCACAACCAGCAATGTTCAGGGGTTATTCCTGACTCTGCACTTAGGAATTACTCCTGGTGGTGCTTGGGGGGCCATATAGGATACCAGGGATTGAATCCAGGGAGTCGGCTGTTTGGAAGGCAAACGCACTACCCCCTGTACTATCGCTCCCACCACTGTAAGCCTTAAATATTTATACAGTGTTCTTAGTTTGCGCTAAGATATTTAATATTAAGAATTATTTCACTTCAAATTTGTGGTTTAGTTAGATCAGAAAATTACTAAAAAGCTATAAGAACTTTCTACGAGATGTACAGATGACGAACAGGTTTATGAAAAAAGAATATCATTTATCATTAGCAAACCAGTGAGAGTGACACATATAGCAAAGGAACAAAAAAACCAGGGTTGATGTGAATATGGGGGAAAGGACCCCTCTCCCACTGCTGGCAGGAATGTCAACTGTTTCAACCTGTTTGGAAAACAATATATGGACATTTCAAATAAGGAAGCACTGAGCTCCTATATGACCTAGCAATGCCACTTCTTATCATTTGTCACAAGGGCCCAAAAATTCTATTCAGAAAGACAATTGAGCTCCTATGTTTACTACATTCACAATACCTAAAATCTGGAAGTGACCCAAGTATCCAAGAACAGATGACTGCGCAAAGAAACTGGTACATATATACATTGGAATATATACATTTCTTGGCTATAAGAAATGATTAAATCATACAATTTGCTGCTGCATGGATGGATCTGGGGAATATCATGCTGAGTTACTCAGAAGGAAAGGGAGAGATACAAAATGATATCTCTAATATGTGGGATATAAAGAAATACTGTAAGGAAATAACAAATGACCAAATGCAACAGAAATTGAGACTTGATCTTCAGCAGAAAGCTTGCAGCAGGGAGAATGGAACAGGCTAGTATGCAGGGAGTGAAGGGGGAAAACTGGGACAATGATGAAGGGAAGTGAGTATTGGTGTAGGGTGGGTGCTGGAATGTTTTATGCATGTAACCCTACCATTTACAATACTGTAAATGACAATGACTAAAATTAAAAATAAAAAAGCTATGAGGAACATAAGTACTCTTTTAATTGCTGATATGGATCACTGTCACTGTCCTTCTGTTGTTCATCGATTTGCTCCAGCGGGCCCAGTAATATTATGAGACTTGTTATTGTGTTTGGCATACCGAACACGTCACAGTTAGCTTGCCAGGCTTTGCCGTGCGGGCGAGATACTCTTGGTAGACTGATGGGCTCTCTGAGAGGGGCAGAGGAATCGAATTTGGGTCGACCAGGTTGGCTGCGTGCAAGGCAAAAGCCCTATCCACTGTGCTAAAAAAAATTATATTTTTTCCTATTATGTTTCTTTTTGAATTTCTAAGTCTCTCAAGCTCAATAATGAAAAAGTCCCTCCCTCGCCCTCCCCTGGGGCTGGAGCAATAGCACAGTGGGTAGGGTTTTTTGCCTTGCATGCGGCTGACGTGGGTTTGATTCCCAGTATCCCATATGGTCCCCCGAACTTCGCCACGAGTAATTCCTGAGTTCCTGAGTGTAAAGCCAGGAGTAACTCCTGTACATCGCTGGGTGTGACCCAAAAAGGAAAAAAAAAGAAAAGAAAAGAAAAAAAAAGAAAAAAGAAAAAGTCCCCCTGTATACCTTTCCAGTTCCATACTCCTGGTTCTTCTTACCTGTTAATTTTGTGAAGGCTTCCATGTCATCAATTGCTGTAGAAATGTGGTACGTTTTTCCTTCAGTGCCTGTAATCTTTATGAAGGAGTCTGCTTTGAGCAAAGCATCTGTAATCCTAAAGATCAAGTTAAAAAATATATATGCTTATGACAAAAACAGTGTCTGCATTATACATTTTACTTAAAGTTAAGGAAATTACTCTAGTGAAATAAAATCTTGAGGCAGTGCTCTAAAGATTACTGCTTCTTTGGGCCAGAAAGGTAATATAGAGGATAAACACTTTCCTTGCATGTGGTCAACTAGGGTTCAATTCCCAGCACCCCACATGGTTCTCAGGGCCCTCCAGGAATGATCCAGGATCACAAAGCCAGGAGTGATCCATGAGCACCACTAGGTGTGGTCCGCAAACCAAAAATAAATAGATAAAATTTAAAAATTGAAAAATAAAGACAGCTGCTTGCATGCCCCAGACCTGGATTCAACACTCACCACCATATATAGTCCCCAAAACCTCCAGAAATCATTCCTGAGCTAAAAAACTAAGAGTAAGCCCTGAGCACTCGGTGGCTACCAAACAAAATAAAAACTAAAGGTACTAAAACAGAAAAAAAAAAAAAAAAAAAAGAAAAGACAGTCTAATAAGATCAACCTTAATTTTACAGATGCAGTTAAGATAGAAGCATGCTATTCTTTGAATCTAACTATTGAAGTTAAAAAATATACACACAAACAACACTCAAAAGGAAAGAGAGAGCAAAAGGGAATGCCCTGCCACAGAGGTGGGATGGGGTGGGGTGGGGATGGTGTGTGAGGGGCTGTGGGAGTGATACTGGGATCATTGGTCGTAGAAAATGGGCACTAGTGGAGGGATGGGTACTCGATCATTGTATGACTGAAATGTAAACACGAAAGTTTGTAAGTCTATAACAACCTCACAGCGATTCACTATTTTTTTTTTTTTTGCTTTTTGGGTCACACCTGGCAATGCACAGGGGTTACTCCTGGCTCTGCACTCAGGAATCACCCCTGGCAGTGCTCAGGGGACCATATGGGATGCTGGGAATCAAATCCGGGTTGGCCGCGTGCAAGGCAAACGCCCTACCTGCTGTGCTATTTATTGCTCCAGCCCCTGATTCATTAATTAAAAATAAAAATAATACACACAAAATGACCCCCCCAAAAAAACCTCATGGGGGGGGAGAAGGCACAATGGTTAAAGGCCCATGCCAAGCATGTTCCTGACCAACCCTGATGCCTGGCATTGCATCAAAGTTTGACACTAATAACTGCCAGGTTGTGGCCCAGGTGGAGTCCTAAAAGTATCACGAATTCAGGCTGAACCCCTTAGTCAACATCCTGTTGACTATAGTGGAAATGGTGCTCAGGACCTTTGAGCATTTCCTAGGAGCCCCACTTCCAAAAGAAAAACCATAAACACAAGCTCTTTTCGTTTATTTTTGGGTCACACCTGTCTGAGCCTGGGTCAGGCTCAACCTTGGGTAAGACAAACTCCCTACTCACTGTACTATTGCTTTGGCCCTAAATACAAACTCTTAACAATCATTAAAATGGGAGAATGTGGTCTTGTTTTTGTTTTCTGTTTGGGCTACACCTAGGGGACCTCCTGCATCCAAAGCATGTGCTCCAGCTCATTGAGCTATTTCTCCCATCGCTGTATTCTAATACAGGACAAAAAAATAAATATGAAAATAATTTCTTCAGTGTAAATGTAAATGTGAACATGAAAGGCTTACAATACGTAATTTCTTTTATTTCTCCCTACCATGGTTTACAGTCTTCTGCCCCCGCGCCTGACTGTCCTCGCTCACCAGGACCCCTTGGAGGGGAGCGGGTTGAGCTTTCCTTCCCGCCCCGACCAGGGCTCTGGCAGCCGAAGACCTCCAGGACCAGCCACCACCATACTGAGACCACTCTCCGCACACATGAAGGTACTGGCAGAGGGTCAAATCCACGCGGGTTCGGGGGCCGAGATCTCCCAGCCTACTCGGATTGGAGTCGAGCATCCTCCACCCAGATCCTCCAAATTCCAGTAGGCGGGGGTCACACCCACCACCTGGCCCCCTGGCGCCGTGTAATCCCATCAGCGGCCAAGACTCAGAGACTATAAAAACCAGATCCTGGAACCGAATGCGGCCGTGCGACATCTTATTATGACATCTTGTTATCTCATTCCTACTTTGGACAAACTGGCAGGTTACCGAATGTAGCCTGCCCACACGGCAGAGTCTGGCAAACTCCCCTTGGCGTACCCAATATGCCAAATACCAGTAACAATGATGGGTCTCATTCTCCTAAAGAGCCTTGAATATAATCTCAGGGCTAGGATGAAGGAGACGTTACTGGGGCCTGCTCGAGGCAATCGACAAATAACAGGATGATTTGTGATTTTGTGATTGTGATGGTTTACAAAGTTATTCACGTTAGGTTTAGACAATATTCCATTCACCAATCCTGCCACCAGGTTCACTTTCTCTCCCACCAATATTCCCAGGCTCCCTTTACCACCCCACTTCTACCCCAGCCTACCATCTCAACAAGTATCTTTTAAATTTAAAACTATTTTGTTTATTTATTTAATTTTTTAATTTCTGGTCTCTGGGCCATACCTGGCGGTATTCAGTGGTGCTGGTTCTGAATCCAGGAATTACTCCTGGCTGTGCTCAATGGCCACCGGGGATCAAACTGAGTTAGCATGTGCAAGGCAAATGCCCTACCTGTTGTACTATCTCTCCAGCCCCTTGCTTATTATTTTTGACTTGGGGCCACACCCAGAAGTGCTCAGGGTTTCATCCCGGCTCTGTGCTCCGTGATCACTTGTGAGCACTATATGGGATACCAGGGATTGAACCTGGGGGTCAGCTGTGTGCAAGGCAAATGCCCTACCCACTGTACTATCACTGTGGCTCTCCAGTCCCAATTTAAAGCTATTTTAGAAAAAGCGAGTCAATTCAAGGCACACGCTCTTTATGTTAGAAAAAGCGAGTCAATTCAAGGCACACACTCTTTATGTTAGAAAAAGCGAGTCAATTCAAGGCACACACTCTTTATGTTTATTGTGGTTGTTGTTTTAAGGTCACAGCCAGCAGTGCTCAGGGCTTACTGCTGGCTCTATGCTTCTGAATCATTCCTGTGGGGTTCAGAGGAAAGAATGGATGCCAGGGATGGAACCCAGGTCAGCTGCATGCAAGGCAAGTATCTTAACTTGCTGTACTATTGCCCTGGCCCTCGGTACCAGGAATTGAGCCAAGGGCATCACAAATGCAAGACATACATCCTACTACTGAGTCATACCCCTGACCTATACCCAACTTTGCTGCTTAGGGTCTTTACGTCATGTAGAGACTTGACTGTACTTTGGGTTCATAGTGAAAAAGATGATTAGAAATATCTTGATAATTTTGATAAGTCACTGACATGGTAAAGATATATTAATCTTAATCTCTAAAATTAGGTTCTGCTGGGCTAAAGAAAACAGTATAGCAGGTAAGGTGCTTGCCTTGCATAAGGTTTATCTGGGTTTGGTCTCAGGTACTCTGTATAGTTCCCTGAGGCTGTCAGGAATGGTTCCTGAGCACAGCCAGCTGGGTGTAACTCCAAAAACAAGCCAAAAAAATTAATTTTTGTCATTAATTTCAGAATGCCAATTATCTATGGCTCCATCTCTCTTCATCTTGACTAATATGTAATACAGAAGCTAGTAATTCCCCCCCCCCCCCCCAGCACTGCTCAGGGTTTACACCTGGCTCTGCACTCAGAAATTACTATTGGTGTTCAGGGGACCATATGGGATATGGGATCCGGAGATCGAACCCCGGTTCACCACATGCAAGGTAAAGGCCTTACCTGCTGTACTATCTCTCCAGGCCTCAGAAGCAACTAACTTTCAACTAATGGTCTAAGCCATTCCATCATTACATCTCTTCATATCTAACTAAACCAGCTCTTTATTTCATTTTGCTTTATTTTTTTGAGGGGGGGGATCGTGCACACTCAGGGGTTATTCCTGATTTTGAGCTCAGGAATTACTCCTGGCTATGCTCGGGGACCCATATGGAATGCTGGGGATAGACCCCCAGATTGGCTTTGTTCAAGGCAAGAACTTGACCCACTATGCTATCTTCTCCAGCCCCTGAGCCAGCTCTTCTTCTGCCTTAAATCTATCACCTTTATCCATTCTCCTCCTTTTTCCCAAAATAAGTTTTTATTTGTTCATTTAAAGGAATTAAAGTTCACTTGAGGGGCCAAGATGATAGTAGAACAGGTAGAGCATTTGCCTTGTACATGGTCAAACTGGTTTTAATCCCTGAAACCCCATAGGGTTCCCCTAGTCTGCTAAGTGTGAACCCTGAGCAGAGCCAGGAGTTTAACTGAAAGCATCACTGGACATGGCCCAAAGACCACTCCCAGCCCTCCCCAAAAAACCCTCACTTGAATGTATTCAGAAACCTCAGCTGTTTCCAAATATAATACTCAAAGAGAAGGGTCAAGGAAAATGTATAGCAATAACATTTGAATTTCTTACATTCTATCAATGATGTTACTGACTTTATGCTGATAAGCTCTACGATGCAAGATGTTGCGTGTGTGGAACATATCATAAAGATTCCCAACCTCCTGTAAGAAAAAAATGACATAAATATTAATAAAATATCAGATTATGTTACCAAGCTAGAAAAACAAATATATAAAACAAGAAAAAGGGGGATGGGAGATAATACAGGGGATAAGGTACTGTCTTACATGTGCTAATTCCAGTTTGAGATTAACCACAAATAAGTAAAGACCTCAACATCTTATCATGTTGATTTTATCAAAATTATTGTGGTTATTTCCAGACTTCAAACCAGGCCTATCTGCTTTATCTACCTGCTGTTCATTTGAGACAGTTTACCTTTTCTCTTGTACAAATATGCTTTCCATCCTCTACTTCACAGACACGGGCAAACCTAATAAAACGTTGATAATCAAAACTATTTTTTATTCCAAGATGATGGCAGTCCCTAAAAAGAATTCAAGCAGAGAGATGAAAATTTTCAGCCAAAAAACTGTAACTTAATCGTTAACACTAAATTTATACAGACTTCATTTGTTTTCATTTTATTTTCTTAAATGGCATATACATAAGATATGTAAAGACTTCAAACAACTTTTCTCATGTGTTCATACCTAGCAAAATAATCCCATTTGTCCACATCAATGCCATTTCTTTTATTAGCCACTATTTCATATAGGAAGCCTTTCTCTTTAGGACGCCCTTTGTATGGCCACTGAAAGACAAGAAAATCCATGGAAAAGTTTTAGTACAGGAACCAAATCTATTCACAAGCAAAGAAAAGCAATTTTATTACTCTGAATATTATTAACAGATACTTGAGTAGAAATTTGAGAATTAGAAAATTCTTTTTCCTTCTAGCTGATCTCTAAATTAGGAGAAATATTTATGTTATTCTAGGAATAATAAACTTTTTTTTTTCATTAAAAGACTCCTGGCACTACCCCAAAAAACAAACAAAATTTAATATATATGTATATATATGGACTGGAGTGATAGAACAGCGGGCATTTAACGTGCACAGGGCCGAATCGGGTTCGATTCCTCTGTCCCTCTCAGAGAGCCCAACAAGCTACAGAGAGCATCCCGCCTGCACAGCAGAGCCTGGCAAGCTACCCATGGGGTATTTGATATGCCAAAAACAGCAACAAGTCTCACAATGGAGACGTTACCAGTGCCCGCTCAAGAAAATCGATGAACAATGGGACAACAGTGCTACAGTGTATATACACATATATATGTACATATATTAAATATACATATAGATAGTTAACCCCCAGGGTTTGAGTCTCAATAACACATGCACACATGATAAGATCTAATTATGAACTAGTTAGAATGTTCCTTAAATTTAGGCATCAAGGGACTGAAGAATTAAACAAGATGAATGCAGGTTTAGCATGCTGGAGGCCTGTGTTTGGTTCCCAGTACTACATGGTCCCCAGAGCACAGAACCAGGAGTAGCATCTGAACACCAACATGTGTGGTCCAAAAAGAAAAAAAAAGGCTAAAAATTTAAGTTTCATGGTCATAGAGTTATAGTACAATGGATAGGATATTCGTCTTGTACGTGGACAATCCAGGTTTGATCCATGGCACCCCATATGGTCCCCTGGGCCCCATCAGGAGTGATCCAGGAGCGCAGGCAGAGCCAGGAGTAAGCCCTGAGCGCCACTGGATATGGCCTCAAAACAAAATACAGACAAATAAAATTTTTTTTTAAATTTTTATTAGTGAGACACCATGAGGTACAGTTGATTTGTGTGCTTGGGTTTCAATTATACAATTATCAAATACCCATCCCTCCACCAGTGCCCATTTCCTACCACCACAGATCCCGGCATCCCCCCCCCCTCCCGCTCCGGGGCAGCACATTCCTTTTTGTTCTCTCTTTTCTATTGGGTGTTGTGGTTTGCAAAAGAGGCAATGGGTGGCAATCATGTTTGGTCTATAGTCTACTTTCAGCATGCTTCTCCCATCCTGGGAGGATCCTCCCAACACCCTTTATTTGGTGCTCCCTTCTCTATCTGAGCTCCCTTTTTCCCTAGCATGTATGACTGGCCTCCAAGCCATGGAGTAAAATTCCTGGTACTAATCTTGGCCCTCCCGTTGATCGTCGATTTGCTCGAGCGGGCCCAGTAACGTCTCCATTGGAGACTTTGTTGTTACTGTGTCTGGCATATTGAATACTCTCGGTAGCTTGCCGGGCTCTCCGAGAGGGGCGGAGGAATCGAACTCGGGTCGGCCATGTTGGCCGCTTGTAAGGCGAACGCCCTACCCGCTGTGCTATCGCTCCAGCCCCATTCTTGGGCGTTTGTCTCACATGCTTGGCCAGTGGCGTGACATCTTTTAAGATACCATTAGCTTCAATGTCATGGAGGGTTTTGCCAACTTTTCCTTCAATGTACCTTATGGATTCCGGTCTGATGTTGAGGTATTTAATTCACCTTGATCTTACTTTTGTACATGGCGAACAAAAATTTAAGGCATCAAAATAGTACTATTTTTCAAAGTTTGTAGATATCAATCTGGATAATATACACTGTTCGAAAAATTTCTGGAGCCTTATTTCTCAAAAACAGGATATATGTTTACAAAAATCCACCATTTTTTTTTTTGTTTTGTTTTGTTTCTGGGCCATACTCAGCGATACTCAGAGCTTACACTTGGGAAAATTCAGGGGACTATATATGGTGCCAGGGATCAAACCAGGTAAGTCACATGCAAGGCACATACCTCCCCACTGTATTCTCTCTTTGGCACCATTATCTTATAAACTATAGTTAGATTCATATGTATTTTGTTCTGGGTCCACACCCAGATGTGCTCAGGACTTACTCCTGGCACTGCATTTGGGGTTCACTCCTGGCAGCACTCAGGGTACCATAATGAAGTAACAGGGATGGAACTTGGATCAGCTGTGTGCAAGGCAAATGCCTTACCCACTGTACTATCTTTCTGGCCCTAGATTTACATAAACTTTGCAATCTCAGAAGAAAGTTATTTTCCATCTTCTTTTTAAAAGGTAAAAGGTAAAGGCCCTCCCGTTGATCGTCGATTTGCTCGAGCGGGCCCAGTAACGTCTCCATTGGAGACTTTGTTGTTACTGTGTCTGGCATATTGAATGCTCTCGGTAGCTTGCCGGGCTCTCCGAGAGGGGCGGAGGAATCGAACTCGGGTCGGCCATGTTGGCCTCTTGTAAGGCGAACACCCTACCCGCTGTGCTATCGCCCCAGCCCTTCTTTTTAATTTTTAATTTAATTTTAATTTTTAATTTAATTTTAATTTAAAATTTAATTTAATTTAAATTTAATTTAATTTAAAAAAGCCTTCTTTTTAATTTTATTATTACTTTTTTTGGACCATACCTGGCAGTTCTCAGGGTTTACTTCTGGTTCTGCCCTTAGGGAATACTCCTGGCTCAGAGGGTGCCATGGGATTGAACCTGGTCAGTCAGGTTCAAGGTCAAGTGCCCCACACAATGTACCATCACTCTGGCCCCTATTATTTTATTATTAAATTTTTTTTTCTGTCAAGTTCCGTGGGACTGGTTGTGGCAGCCCACCTGGAGCATCTGAGCTGGCCAGGGCTGCTGCTGCATCACCACCACTGGGATCCAGAGGGCGCAGGGCTACCAGTGGGTCAACCTGGACCCTCTGGGTGGAAGCATCAGCAGCCTGATGGGGTCTTCGGGCTTCCTGACACACCAAAGTCATCACAATGCTTCTGGCTGAACTCCAACAACTTGGGACAAACTTTTCTAAGAAAGCACTGTAGCACTGTCCTCCCGTTGTTCATTGATTTGCTCGAGCGGGCCCAGTAACATCTCCATTGTGAGACTTGTTATTGTGTTTGGTATATCGAATACGTCACAGGTAGCTTGCCAGGCTCTCCAAAAGGGGCAGAAGAATCAAACCCGGGTCTGTTCGATCGGCTGTGTGCAAGGCAAATGCCCTACCTGCTGGGCTATCACTCGAGCCCTCTAAGAAAGCAAACCACCAAAATTTAGGTATAAGAGAGCCACACCCACAAACCACCTCAGGTCCTACCATACAAGCTCATTTATTGGCCTGCTCTAGAAACTCTTAAATAAATCTCAAAAGAGATCAAAATGACACAGTAAATCTTCCTGGACCTGTAAATAGCTGAATCAAGCAGAACACAGAGCAGGGCAGGTTAGTGCATGCAGATTTTGTGACTGAAATATCCAGGCTTTCTTAGAGTTGGGATGGGTTACCTCCCCACACCTCCCTGTACTTCTGGAAGCCCTGATAGTCACATCCACACCCCAAAGCTGCCACGCAGTTTAAAAAAAGCTACTCTGGGGGCTGGAGAGACAGAACAGCAGGTAGGGCATTTGACTTGCACGCGGCCGACCCAGATTCAATTCCCAGCATCCCATATGGTCCCCTGAGCACTGCCAGGAGTAACTCCTGAGTGCAGAGCCAGGAGTAACCCCTGTGCATGGCCGAGTGTGACCCAAAAAGAAAAAAAAAGCTACTCTGAGGGAACAGGTGAGTCCCACCCCCCGCCCCCCAATAAAGCCCCAAAACCCTCCAGAACTCAATTGCCACCATGCTCACAATCAATCGCCACAGGCTTGACAAGCTTCATCTGTGAGGTTTTTTTTTTCTTTTTGGGTCACACCCAGCAATGCACAGGAGTTACTCCTGGCAGTGCTCAGGGGACCATATGGGAAACTGGGAATCGAATCTGGGCTGGGTCGGCCACATGCAAGGCAAATGCCCTACATGCCCTACCTGCTATGCTATCGCTCCAGTCCCTCATCCATGAATTTATCTGCTGAAAAACCCAGATATGCAAAATTTGTGACTGAAATCTCCAGGCTCTCTGAGTTGGGAATGGGTAACCTCTCCCCCATCTCCCTGCACTTCCGGTAGTTGACAGTCATGCCCATGAACTGCCTCTGGTGCCATTTAATCTTATTAATGGCCATGAATCAGAGACTCACAAATAAACCATGGAAGAGAAAGAGAGCAACACACAGCAAAGATGCCTATGGACCCCAACATCACCATCCAATTAAAATTTCAATTCTTGCTGTGATCACACTATTTAGAATCTTAGAATCTCTGCAGTGCACAGCCGGCTTAATGGCCTAATGGCTACAGGGAGATAAAACAATCTTCACACACTTTCCACTAAAGAAACTATTTTGGATCATCTTTAGCAGATTATTCATAACAGGCAATACAATGTAAATTATTATGTTCTGCTTTGGGGGCAGGCTTTGGGGATCAGGGTGGAATAATTCGAAATATGGTGATGGTAAGATAGTGTGGTGGGACTGGTGTTGGAATACTGAGTGTAGTCAACAATTGTGAACAACTTTGTAAAAAATATACTGAACTCCCTGAACAAACAGGATGACCTCGTAGTACCTTTTGTGCACAAAGGGGGGGGAGAAGTGGGGGGAGAGAGAGAGAGAGAGAGAGAGAGAGAGAGGAGAGAGAAGTGCCGGCTATAGAGGTAGGCTGGGGACAGTCGGGAGGTGATAAGAGGTAAACTGGGGTCATTGGTGCTGGGAAATGTACACTGGTGGAGGATGGGTGTTGGAACTTTTGTATGACTGAAACCCAATCATGAACAGTTTTGTAATGGCTTATCTCATGGTGAATCAATTTAACAAACAAAAAACAAGAACAGGCCTTCACCACACAGAGTATGTGCTCAGCCCATTGAGATATCTCTCTGGTTCTATCTGTACATTTTTAATTTGGGTTGTAAATTTGTGGGGGGGGAGCTCAAAGGTAGAAAAATACATAAACTTTGCAGCAAACAATAGAGATATATCACTTATTTTATCATTTAGTGACCCTAAATAGCCAAATACGTCACCCTAGGTTTTGCACGCAAACTTACAGAACATGAATCCGTTGGTGAATCAGGTGGTCCTATAATCTGTTCCTTGATAAAGCAAATATCTTCTTCAGGAACAAGTCCATAGTGTTGCATGACATCTTTGAGTCCATTAGACTTTATTAAGTGCTCAAACATCTGAACTGAGCCTTGTTCATGCTAGGGAAAATCAGAATATAATGTTATAAACCCACTCAACTAGGGAACCCAGGTTATCTAAATAACTAGATTCCAGGTAGTTCAGTAAGGCTATACTACATAATAGTCTTGCCAATATTTTGAAAGATAACGTTGCAGATATTTTTTAAAAATCTGTTACAGGTCAGAGAGATGGCTTAGTGACCAAGGGGTTTTGCCAAGCATGTGGTCCCCTGTCAGACATATGGTCCCTTGAGCAGTGCCAGGAGTTAGCCCTGACAAGAGCCAGGAATAGCCCCTGATCATTGGTGAGTATGGTCCAAACACTGGTCAAAACAAATTCTTTCAGATTTGGAGCTAGAGACAAAATGTAAGATTTAAGGTTCTTGCATGCAGCTGACCCCAACACTGTATGGTTCAAGGAGTACCCTCTGAGCATCACCAAGTATGGCTGGTGAACCCAACACCCCCCTCCATAATCTGTTAGTTTTTATTTTACTGGTCTAAATGTTTTATAAATCATGATAAAAGGTAAAAAAGGCCCTCCCGTTGATCGTCGATTTGCTCGAGCGGGCCCAGTAACGTCTCCATTGGAGACTTTGTTTTTACTGTGTTTGGCATATCGAATACTCTCGGTAGCTTGCCGGGCTCTCCGAGAGGGGCGGAGGAATTGAACTTGGGTCGGCCATGTTGGCCGCTTGTCAGGCGAACGCCCTACCGCTGTGCTATCGCTCCAGCCCAATACAAAATAAATTATTTTGGTTATATTTGATAATACAGTATAATTATTTATAGCATGTAGAATATTATGAGATCCTACAAGAAGCATTTCATTTTAATGGATTTATAAAAATCCAAGTGTTAATTAAAAAAAAAGGGTAAAATTCAAGTTATATTTCTTGGGGGCTGGATTGATAGCACAGCGGGTAGCGTGTTTGCCTTGCACGCGGCCGATCCAGGTTCGAATCCCAGCATTCCATATGGCCCCCTGAGCACTGCCAGGAATGATTCCTGGGTGCAGAGCAAGGAGTAACCCCTGAGCACCGCCGGGTGTGACCCAAAAAGCAAAAACAAAACAAAACAAAACAAAACAAAACAATTCAAGTTTATTTCATCAAGTGTTCATCAGGGGTTACTCTTGGCTCTGTACTCATGAATTATTCCAGACAATGCTTGGGGGAACTATATGGGATGCCACGGATAGAAGTGGAGTCAGCTGCGAACAAGGGAAACACCCTACCCACTGTAATATCATTTTATCCCTGTACTGGCTACTTTTAAAAAATTATTTTATTAACTATCAAACAGATGAATACATACCGTCCACTTCACATCTGGGCGAGCAAGTGGAATAAATCTTCCATCAAACATATGAGAAAATGGACCATGACCTTAAAAAGAACAAAAAAAAGCAACACTTTTTATTTTTTATTTTTTTGCTTTTTGGGTCACACCTGGCGATGCACAGGGGTTACTCCTGGCTCTGCACTCAGGAGTTACTCCTGGCGGTGCTCAGGGGACCATATGGGATGCTGGGAATTGACCCCAGGTCAGCCTCAAGCAAGGCAAACGCCCTACCGGCTGTGCTATCTCTCCAACCCCTGCTTTTTTTTTTTTTTTTGGTCACACCCAGCAATGCACAGGGATTATTCCTGGTTCATGCACTCAGGAATCACTCCTGGCCATGCTCGGGGGACCATATGGGATGTTGAGAATTGAACCTGGGTCGGCCGCGTGCAAGGCAAATGCCCTCCGCTGTGCTATCACTCCAGCCCAAAAGCAACACTTTTTAGAATAAGAAAAATGTTTATAAACTGGTAAAAAATGTGAATCTATGTATCTTTTTTAAAAAAAGTTTTTTTTTGGAAATAGGACAGATTTTATTTGGAGGTTTTTGAAGGTGTGGAGCAGAGGGAAAGTGTGAAGCATGAGAGTAACATGCTCAAAGGGAACGTGGGCTTCGTCAAGGGCCAAGAGAGCCCCTACACACATCCCAGCATTAGATAGGAAAGTACACACCTCAAAAGGGGAGATGCAGATACCACATGTGCTCAGTCACATGGGCACAGAGCACATGGGCTCAGGCAGCATATATGCGCCTCAAAAGTGTTTTTCTCTTTGGGCCACACCTAGCAGCGATGAGTGGCTATTCCTGCTCATTGCTCAGGGTTCATCTCTGGCAGTGCTTTGGGATAATGTAGCGCAGTGATCAAACACAGGTCCCCTGTATGCAAAGTATATGCTCCTGTTCCTCGGACTATCTCTCCAGCCCATAAAACAAGTCTTTTTTTTTTTTTTACCACACCCAATGATGCTCAGGGGTTATTCGTGGCTCTGTACTCAGGGATCACTCCTAGTGGTGATCAGAGGACCATATTAGGTATTTGGGATCAAACCTGGATTGGCTGTGTGCAAGGCAAATGCCTTACCTGCTATACTGTCACCAAGGCCCCACTTAAAAGTGACTTTATAAGGTCCACATCCAGCAGTGCTTGGCCCAGCACTGTGGCTCTGTCTGTTTCGGCCTTGAACCTAGAAAGGCAGCAGTGCTGGGATGCGGGCAGGTGTGTATGTGTCTTTGTGTGTGTCTTTATATTTTCTAGTTAAACTGAATTTTAATATAAATAAATGATTTATAAATATATCATGAAAAGGGACAAATGCTGAGTCAGGAACATAGCTTAATGGCAGATGCATGACCTGCAGGTGGAAGACTGTTTGGCCCTCAAAAAAAAAACAAACAAAAAAGGACATATTATCAGAAGTTTGTGGAAAGTAAGCAAACTCTACAATGAGGGGTGTTTGACACATCAGAACTTTCACCGCTCTGAAAGAAGATAAATTTATGTAACCAAAATTAATAACAAAAACTTGGCATTTAGACTTTGTGGATTAGAGAAGCAGCACTTCAAAAATAACCTACTGTGGTACAGAAAATAAATATCAATTTATTTTATTACTTCATCCTAACCTAATTTTTTGGTGGGGGTTATGCGAAACTGAATGCAAGTCTACATACATGTAATAAATGTAAGTTACACACTCCACACTTCACATCACCAGGCTATAAAATTATCAATAGGGGCCAGAGACAAAATACAAAGGCTATGACCCTGGTTCATCCCCAAAACCATAAATGGTCCCATGAGCATCTATAGGAGCGATCCCTGAACACAGAGCCAGGAATAAGCCATGAGTACTGCTGGTGTGGCCGAAAATTTCCCCATATTTATCTATATATATGTACATATGTATGTATATGTATGCAGATATACATATACATATGTCTATATATAAATATATAAATTTTGGGGGCAGAAGAAATAGCTCAACAGGGGGGCTAGAGCAATAGCACAGCGGGTAGGGCATTTGCCTTGCATGCGGCCAACCCAGGTTCGATTCCCAGCATCCCATATGGTTCCCCAAGCACCACCAGGAGTGATTCCTGAATGCATGAAACAGGAGTAACCCCTGTGCACAGCCGGGTGTGACCCAAAGAGCAAAAAAAAAAAAAAAAAAAAAATTAAAAAATAGTTCAACAGGTTACAGTGTATCCTTTACATATGGGAGGCTCAAGTTTAGTCCTCCCATCCCATGGTGACCTGAGTACCTTCAGGAGAATGAAGCATGAAGCCCCAAGTAGGCCGTAAATCCTGCCAAGTGTGGCCCAGAAACTAAGAAAATAGATAAAATAATCCATTAATAAACCAACAAATACACATGAAATCAGGGCCTTTCTCAGATTTTGATGATGTGGACAATCAAAAATGGCGATTAATACTTTACCATATTCGTAAGTGATTTCAGCACTCCACAACACACAACCAGAACAGTGCCTCAATTAACAGTGAACACCCCAATCTAGATATGTGCAAACCGTGATGAGCACAGCAGCTCATGAAGGAACACCACAGTCCAACAGGTGATCCCTGGCGAGCAGCACAACCAGGAATGAGTGTGCAACTGTCATCATCATAATAACAACAATGATGAGAAGGGAAGTGGAGAGAAATAGAAAAAAAAATAATAAATTAAGGGGGCTGGGGAGATAATATAGTGGGCAGGGCGCTTGCCTTGCACACAAGCAACCTGGTTCAATCCCTGGCACCGCATATGGTCCTCCAAGTCCTACCAGGAGTAAGCACAGACCCAGGAGTAAGTCTTGATCGCAACTAGATGTAGATCAAAAACAAAAACAAAAAAGGAACAAAAAACCCCACCAGGGCTGGAGTGATAGTACAGTGGGTAGGGCGTTTGCCTTGCACATGGACGACCTAGGTTCCATTCCCAGCATCCCATTTGGTCTCCTGAGCACCTCCAGGAGTAATTCCTGAGTGCAAAGATAGGAGTAACCCCTGTGTATCACTGGATGTGACCCCAAAAAGCCAAAAAACAAAACAAAATAAACAAAAGAAAACCAAAAAACCCACCAATCATTTTTGTATTTTTCTGGGTTAGGCTTATATTTTTAGTTTCAATGAGACATAATATGTGTTGAGGAAATAGCTCAAAAAGCACAAGCTTTGTATGTAAGTGGCTTGGATTCAATACCAAACACTGCATGTTTCAGCAAAAAAGGAAATTTAAAAAGAGAGAAAAAGAGAGACGTCTAGGAATAGGAAGATGGCTCAAAGGGCTGGAACATGTGCTTTACATGTCAGAACCTGTGTTCAATCCTCAGCACATGTTTTCCAGCCTCAAATACAGTCCCATGGCCCCAAGCACTGAGCCAGGGAGCCAGGAACAGCAGCCAAGACCCTGCAGGGCTTTAGCAAGAGTACAGTGGGTAGGGTGCTTGCCTCACACACAGCTGACCTAGGTTAGATTCCTGGCATCCCCTATGATATTGATCCTTCAAAAGTTATTCCTGAGTGCAGAGCCAGGGGTAACCTCCGAGCATAATGGGATGTGCCCCCCACACCTCTGCAAAAAAAAAGAAGAACCTGTAGGTATAGTCCAGAAACAAAAAAACAAGTGTGGGGGGGAGGGGAGAGACGGGGGGGGGGCAGGAGGGGAGAGAGAGAGAAAGGGAGGGAGGAGAGATACAATGCTATGGTTTTATACAACAACTTTGGCTCTTTGGGGCTGGAATGATAGCACAGCGGGTAGGGCGTTTGCCTTGCACGTGGCCCGACCCGGGTTCGATTCCCAGCGTCTCATATGTCCCCTGAGCACGGCCAGGAGTAATTCCTGAGTGCACGAACCAGGAGTAACCCCTGTGCATTGCTGGGTGTGACCCAAAAAGCAAAAAAAAAAAAAAACCAACTTTGGCTCTTTGTATAACTTACCAAGATCATGACAAAGCCCAGCAATCTGAACACAGAGTATATCTCGAGGACTTATCTTCAGCTCTGGCTGCTTTTCATGCAGCTCACGAAGTAGACAACCTGCAAGATATCCTACACTGCAGAGGAAAAATAAGTCACTATTTTAATTGAAAGATGAATACTTTGGTTTCCAGAAACTTAATTGATTGTGGGGGGGGGGGGGCAGTTTGGCATACACCTGGAAGTGCTCAGGGCTAACTCCTGGTTCTGCACTCAGGAGTCACTCGTGGTGGGGCTAGGAGGAACATATGGGTTACCAGGGATCGAGCCTAGGTCAGTCACTACCCTGCTGTACTCTCACTGGCCCTGATTTTCAGAAACTTCAGTGTTTCTCAAGTGTCCCAATATATCTCTAAGATTACTTAACTAAATAGTTTCTATCAAGAACTAGGCAGGATCTAGAAATATGCAGGAACATACACAGAACCCCAAAAGCAAGTCCTCTTGTTTTAGCATCACTCATAAAGAAATGTAATAGGGGCCGGAGTGATAGTACAGCAGTCAGAGCGTTTGCCTTGTACGTGGCAGAATTGAGTTTGATCTCTGGCATCCGGCATCTCATATGGTCTCCCAAGCACTGCCAGGAGTAATTCCTGAGTGCAGAGCCAGGAGTAACTCCTGAGCGTCGCTGGGTGTGACCCAAAAAGCAAAAAAAAAAAAAAGTAATAATGGACTGGATAGTGTCACATCACAGAGCGTAAGATTTGCACACAGAAGGATGGGGTTTGATCCTTGAGCACTGACAAAAGCAAACCTGGTACTTTGCCAGAGTAACCCCTAGGTAGCACTGTAGCACTGTCCTCCCATTCTTCATCGATTTGCTCGAAAGGGCACCAGTAACTTCTCACAACAAACTGTGAGACTTGTTACTGTTTTTGACATATCAAATACTTTTTAGGGAGCTTGTCAGGCTTTGCTGTGTTTTCCCCCCTGGTAGCAAGGTGGCTGCCGCCTCAGTGCTTATTGGAAAGCCAGGTGTGAGCCAGCATTGATGGGGAAACTGCAGTCTCATGGGAAGGGGGGTGGTACTGGCTCGTCCTTCGTGCCCTATGGAGGTCATGAGTTGCCCCCCACGAGCGGCTCTCTGGCAGAGCCATAACACCAGATGCACAGAAACCAATCTCGTAATTATCTGGCTCTTTGCAGAAATCCAATATTGCGAGGCCACTATTGCGGCCACGTGAGATTATATTATTCCCATAACCAGCTACAGAAAACAAAGTATTTCACAATGCCTTTTCAGCAATTCTGATTGTTGGGGGGGGAATTCTAAACAATAATGGTGCATCTTTTGTCGAAATAATGAATGTAATCAATGTAGAGAATAGTTAAGTGGAAATCATCTGCTTCACAGGCATTGGGAGGGGGCGTATATTGGGGTTCTTGGTGGTGAAAAATGAGTACTGGTGAAGGGAGAGGTGTTTGATCATTGTGTGACCGAGACTTAAACCTGAAAGCTTAGTAACTTTTCCCACAGTGATTCAATAAACAAATATAAGAAAAAATAATAAATAAAATTATGAAAAAAAAAAGGTAAGATGAAGTTTATACCCAATTCAATCAGCTAATCAGTGGCTGAATAAATAGCAGTACTCCTACATAAAAAAAAAAAAGATACTCTTGGTAGCTTGCCGGGCTCTCCACAAGGGGCGGAGGAGTCAAACCTGGGTTGGCCGCCTGCAAGACAAATGCCCTACCCGCTGTGCTATAGCTCCAGCCCCTAGTTATCACCCAAAAACCAAAACCAAGGGCCAAAGTGATGGCACAGTGGGTAGGCATTTGCCTTGCACACAGCTGACTCAGGTTTGATCCCCGGCACCCCACATGGTCCCCTGAGCACTGCAGGAGTAATTCCTAAGTCAGGAGTCAGTCCTGAGTATCGTCAGGTGTGGCCCCAAAACAAAAACAAATAAAAAAACCCAAACCAAATCACACCCCCCACCCCCAAATTTATATTATGGTGTTAGAGAGATAGCTCAAAGTGCTAGTGCACATCTTTGCATTTGGGAGACCCGGGTTCAGTCCTAAGCAACACATTGTCCCCCAATATCATGGGATACAATCCCTAAGAAACATGTACCACTTGGTATGGCCATGAGTATTGCCAGGTTTGGGCAACTTCCCCACCCTCAAAAAAGGAACTTATACTTAAGAAGTAGTAGGCTGGAGAGAGTACAATGGAACAGTGGGTAAGGCCCTTGCCCTTGCATGTGTTGACCCAGGTTCAATCCCTGGTACCTCAGATGGTTCTCCAAGTACCACAAGGAATGATCCCTGAGTGCGGTCAGGAATAAGCCCTGAGCACTGCCAGGTGCTCCAAAATAACAACAATAACAAAAGCAGTACTTTCAAATGGCAAACAATTCCAAAATCCTTAAATAAAAATGGCAACAAATTCATAGCAATAATTTCTGGGGCTGAAGCGATAGTACAGATATAGGCCTTGCACACGGCCAACTTGGATTCAGTTCCTGGCACCCCATTTAGCCCTCCCAAGAACTGCTATGACCAATCCCTAAACACTGCTGGGTGTGGCTCCAAAGCAAAAACAAAGTTAAAAAAATATTTCTATCAATGTCGATAAACCAAACTCTCCTACTAGGCATACAGCAGCTGGATAGATCAGGAAACAAAAATCCAACCTCTTGCTGCTTACAACAGTTACACCTGATCTCTCATGACAAACAGGCTGAGTAAAAGTAGAAAAACAAACATACAAATTAAAGGGGAACTTTAAAATGCGGGGACAGCTATACTTTATCAGACCAAATTATGGCTGCTATTTCATCCAAGATAAAGTAATAAGGTAGAGATAGACATTATATATTATATATACTGCTTATATAAGAAGACTTAACTCAGGGGGCTAGAGTGACAGCACTGTGGGTAGGGCGTTTGCCTTACACGCGGCCGACCCAGGTTCGATTCCCAGCATCCCATATGGTTCCCCAATCACCGCTGGGAGTAATTCCTGAGTGCATGAACCAGAAGTAACCCCTGTGCATTGCCGGGTGTGACCCAAAAATAAAGCAAAAAAAAAAAAAATTGTTCTGCCCTAAACCGAGAGTTGCATACAAGAAGAGACAATTGCTACTTTGTTGGCTTGGTAGGACCCAGTAAGTTTTTAATAAGCATTTGTTCAGGACTATGAACATTTGAGCAAAAACATGTTCTAACTAATTAAAAATATTACAAGGCGAAGACAGAGATTTACACAAATAACACACAGATTAAGGTGCTTGTCTTATATGCAGTCGACCTGGTTTGAACCCTGTACATCACATGGTCTCTGAGTACCATCAGGAGCAAACCCCTGTGCAGTGAGGATGTGGTCCAAAGTCCCACCCTACCACCAAAAAAATTTAAAGGGGCTAAGAATGCCCCTTCAGTGACAGAAGATATGCCTTGTACATATGAAGCCCTGGATTAGATCCCTTGTACATCTCCCCCCAAAATGGTTCAAAACAGGCAAGCACAAAATAAATAGGAACAGGAGAGAGCTCAATGAACTAAGCACATGCTTTGCATGCAGAAGGCCTGCTCAATTCTCAGTACCACATCAGGTACATGATCACCCAAGCACTGCTAGCAGCAAGCTGGAAGCAGACTCAGCCCCCTTGGATGTGACCAAAGAAACAAAACAAAAATACAATATAACTAAGTAATATACTGCTAATATTTCCTAGAAAACTGTTCAGCTTATATCCACTGGCTCTACATTTCATAATGAAAAGGCAGATCAAAGTTTTAGTCTAAGGGTACATAACAAAGATGCTTTTTATCTAAGCCTGTGAATACTTTTTTTGATTTGTACATTTCCTGACAGGTAAGAAAATTATCTGGTTTAACTGGTTGGAGAAATAATATAGGAAGTAAGGCATTTGCCTTGCATGCAGACACTTTAGGCAACCCTGCTTATATCCCTGGCACTGAATATGGTTCTCTGAACACTGCCAGAAGTCAATTTGAGCACAGTCATGAAAAGCCCCCGAGCACTGCTGGGCATGGCCCCCAAACCAAAATAATAGTAAAAAATAGGTAAAGGTAAGGTAAAGGCCCTCCCGTTGATCATCGATTTGCTCGAGCGGGCCCAGTAATGTCTCCATTGGAGACTTTGTTGTTACTGTGTCTGGCATATCGAATACTCTCGGTAGCTTGCCGGGCTCTCCGAGAGGGGCGGAGGAATCGAACTCGGGTCGGCCATGTTGGCCGCGTGCAAGGCAAACGCCCTACCCGCTGTGCTATCGCTCCAGCGATAAAATAAAATAAAAATAAAATAAAGATAAAATAAGTACAGCAAAGCAAATCAAAGCATTAGTGTTCTCTTGAATAAAATTATTATTCATTTATAAAAACTATTCTTGGGGGCTGAAGAGAATAGTTAAGGCACTTGCCTTGCACGCAACCAAGGTTTGATTTTGTAGTACCATATATGGTCCCCTGAGCCCAGCCAAGAGTGATCCCTGAATGCAGAGCCAGGATTAACCCTGAGCACACTAGGTATGGCCAAAAAAAACAACCAACCAACCAACCAAACAAACAAAAACAAAAATCCCTGACTACTCTTGGGCTGGAGATTTGACACAGTGAAAAAAAAGAATACCTAGGTTATCAAGAACTTCATTTAGATCCCCAGAACCACACACACACACACACACACACACACACACACACACACAGCCAGTTCTCTAAAAGAGGAGTCATTCATTTCATAACACAGAGAAGGAACTTAATGATGAAATTCCCCCCACCCAATTCTTACCCTAGACTATGTTCAAATCGATTGTGTGAAGCTCCTGGGAAAACATAGTAACCGGCTCCCAACTGTTTAATATACCGAAGCCGCTGAAACTGAGGAGTGTCAATGATTCGGATGAGGAGAGGATGAAGTTCAATGTGGCCATGGACAGGGTCATTAATTACCTAGAAAATTGTGTTTAAATGAATTAACAATAGTGAGAAACGATACGATATGATACAAGTCCATCAAAAATCTGTGCAGCTATTCCTATTCACAATGCACAATTAAAACTACTTAATTGTTCTCAAGAGTAACACTAAGGGAAAGAACAAGATAATTACCTTATTTATGTATCACTACCAGACAGACCAAGTATATTGGACCTGGGTATATCTTACTTCTTCCTAATGGATTCTAATAACAGAAAGATAATGATTTCAATCATTTTATTATGGATATGATTTAATAAGTCTTTAATAAGAAGGGTCCCATCTATTTAAGTCAAGCATCCATATTTAGCATACATAATTAGATCATAATAGCCATAAGACTGCAGGAAAGGAGTCTACTTTTTTGGAAAATATATCTAGATAGTAACCAATAAGTATGACAGTTTAGAAAAGGTGGGAGTGGGGCTGGAGCAATAGCACAGCAGGGAGGGCATTTCCGGCCCACCTGGGTTCGATTCCCAGCATCCCATATGGTCCCCCGAGCACCGCCAGGAGTGATTCCTGAGTGCAAAGCCAGGAGTAATCCCTGAGCATCACCGGGTGTGACGCAACCCCCCCCCCCAAGAAAAAAAAAGGTGAGAGTGAGAGATAACAAGTAGGGCATTTGCCTTACACACAGTGGACTTGGGTTTGATCACGCGCACTGCATATGATCCTCCCAAGCCCCACCAGGAGTGATCCCTGAGTGCAGAGGTAGGAGTGTGCCTCAAACAAAAAATCATTCAATCTTACAGGTGAAGGACCTTGCCTAGTTTACAGTTAAATTCTCAGAACCCACTCACAACACACTCCCTGGGACATAGTAGGTACTCCACATCTTACAGGTCTGAAACTAAGTGAGGGGTGGGGAACTCCTATTGGTGTTTAGGGCTTACTCCTGACTCAGAGCTCAGGGATCACTCCTGGTGATCAAGAGACTATATGGGGTGCCAGAAACTGAACCCACATTAGCCGTATGCCAGGCAAGAACCTTACCCACTTCTATACCTCCAGCCCCTAAGTTTTCTTAACTTTACAGATGTGAAAACCAGAAATTTATTTTTGCCTCTTCTTTTGGGTTTTCAGATCTCACCTGGCAGTGCTCAGGGACTCTTCTCCCAGATAAAACACTACTACTTCATGCAAAGCATGAGGTCAGCCCACCTCTCTCTGTCCCTAAAATCATGATACATGTCTTTACGTTCCCAAGCACTATCAGGAGTGACCCCCAAACACTGAGTCAGAAGTAGTACTCAGTCCATCAAAAATCTGTGCAGCTATTCCTATTCACAATGCAAAATTAAAACTACTTAGTTTTTTTTTCTTTTTTGCTTTTTGGGCCACACCCAGCGATGGTCAAGGGTTACTCCTGGTTCTGTACTCAGGAATTACTCCTGGCGGTGCTTGGGGACCATATAGGATGCCGGGGATAGAACCCAGGTTGGCCGTGTGCAAGGCAAACACCCTACCTGCTGTATTATCTCTCCGGCCCCAACCTACTTAATTGTTTTTAAGTAAGAATAACAACAACCAAAAAAGAGGGCTGGAGAGGTATTTCAAGAGGTTGGAGCAAGCTGGGAGCACAGGTTCGATCTCTAGCATCACATTTCCCCCCAAGCACTAATCTGGAAGTAGCCCCTGAGTACTACTAGATTTAGCCCCCAAATAGATAGAAACTTTACTTATGGTATTAAAATCACCCTGAATCAGAAGTGGAGTCAGCTCAAAGAACTGCAATGCATACTTTTCATATAAGATCACAGGTACCACCTGGCACCCTCTCACCTGGCTCCCCTCATCCCTCACTCATGACCCACACCAGCACCACCAGGAGCGACCCAGAACACCAAGGGAATGCCCTGGGAGTAGTCTCTGAGCACACCAGGGTGACCTAAACCTAAATAAATAAAATGGAATCACCCCAAAGAGCCTGTGAAAAAATGCACACTGCTGGATCTTCATTCTAAATCCATCATATCAGAACTTCTGGGATGGAGGCTGGGAAGTTAACTGTTATAATGCTTCTCAGGACACACAGGTATTAAAAACTGGGCTTTTGATGCCTGAAAGTCTAAGAGTTTGAAAAGAAACAGTTTTAGATAGATTAAACTTTAGGAATATATATATATCAATCTTTTGGACTAATATTGGATCAAAAAAATGCCCAAAACTGATAAGGCAACTTGGCACATCTTTAAAAATTATTCTATAAAGGCCCTCCCGTTGATCGTCGATTTGCTCGAGCGGGTCCAGTAACGTCTCCATTGAAGACTTTGTTGTTACTGTGTCTGGCATATCGAATACTCTCGGTAGCTTGCCGGGCTCTCCGAGAGGGGCGGAGGAATCGAACTCGGGTCGGCCATGTTGGCCGCTTGTAAGGCGAACGCCCTACCCACTGTGCTATCGCTCCAGCCCTAAAAATCTTTTGGCTAAGATCAAGTGTAGTAAAAATTATTCTATGGGCGCCAGAAAGATCATACAGAGGTTAGGTGCTTGCTGCTTATCCTATCTGCCAAGTTCAAATCCCTAGCACTGCCATGGTCCCCTGCATACTATCAGCAGTCACTCTGGAAAAGCCAGGTGTGGAACAATACCTGTTTCCCCAGGCCCCCAAATTATTCTATGACAAAGAAGTTACTCGGGCAATGTGTGTCAGTGTGGGAGATTGTCAAAAATTTGTTCTGTGGGGGGCCAGAGAAGAAGTATAATGAGTAGGGAGTTTTGCCTTGCAGGTGGCTGACCCAGGTTCAATCCCTGGCACCCCAAAAGGTCCTGCAAGCACTGCCAAGACTGATTCGAGTGCAGAGCCAGGGGTAAGCCCTGAGCACTGTGGGTGTGGGTCTATACCACCAAAACCAAAATCTATCTGTATATCTATATCTATACCTAGATATAGATATATTGTTCTATGGGACTGCATGTTAGGCTCTGCGTTCAATCTGTAGCACAAGAATAATAGCATCTGTTCTATGAAAGCTTTAGACTGTTACTTATGATGTATAAAGTGTTTGAAAGCATGCAAAAAATAGCTAAGTATTGCTTGTGACTATACATACATAAGTAATAAAAGTAAAAAGCACCCAGGATAGTGATTAGGCACCAAATCAGGATGCATATTTCTGAAGGGAAAGATCAGAAAGGGTATAAAAGAGACCTCCAAGCATTTCTAGTACCTCACTCTGAATTAACAGAATGAAGCAAAGTAAGAAGGACATTAAGATTCAACGAGCTGAGTAGTGGTCTATTTATGTTCTTCTATATGCTTAAAGTAAATTTTCTTTTGGCTTAAAGATCATGAGATAGAACAGAGAGATAGAATAAGGGTAAGGCTGTTGCCTTGAAAGTGGGTAACCCTAGTTTGAACCCACTAACCCCTGTCCCCAGAGCACTACTGGATATAACCCTCTAAGCATAGGGCATAGAGCCAGGAGTAGCTCTAAAGCATCATTAGGTATGGCCTAACCTCACCAGAATTAGAAATAAATATACTGTGCTTATTTTAGAACATGTAGGATTCATTACTCAAAATCTTATTAAGATTTCCTTCCATTCTTCGAAAAATTAATTGCATAATGGTCATATTACTTTATACTTAAAAATTATAATAGGGGTTAGAAAGATAACATGGTACTTTCTTGCTTTGCATGCAGCCAGTCCAGGTTCAATCCCTGGCACTGCATATGGTCTAATATGCAAGTCCTAGTAGAAGTGAACCCCAAGCACAGAGCCAGGAGTAAACCCTGAGCACAGGTTTGTAGGACCCCAAAACCAAAACTAAACAAATTTTTAAAAAATGAAAGTACAGAATCCTCCTTAAAGAAACATAAAATTATTAAAAGGAATGAGGGTGAGAGATCGTATAAGGGTTAAGGAAGCCTAGTATACACCCAATCTGGATTTGATTATATGAACATTCTATAATCAAACATTATATGAACCTAAAGTATCGCAGGGTGTGGCTCTCGAGTACTGCATGATTGTTGGGGTATCTGGATATCCCCAGAATCAAAGGTACTGCATCCTCAGAATTTTGCATTAAGCCACTGGTCCAGCTGGCCAAGACAGAATCACCAGTGGGTCCCCAGAAGCCTGAACATTGCTGGTGAGATCCCCAAAATAAATAAAATTTAAAAACAAGTAAGTTCAGATCCCTCTTACCTTCATATCAGCATTCAGTTGTTGTAATAATTTTCTTAAACCCTTTCTCTTTTCCAAGGAACTAAAATTATGACAAGAAAAGCAAATATGTCATTATTTGCATAATAATAATTCCTGGAATTAATAATAGTATATAATCAACTCTAGGATACTATATTAACAGAAGAAGAAATTAGATTAAAAGAAACAATTGAATGTTGACACATACTCCTTGATTTTTGTTGTTTTGGGGTCACACACAGCGATGTTCAGGGGGGGTTACTTTTGGTTCTGCACTCAGGAACCACTCCTTACAGTGTCTGAGGAGGGACCATATAGGATGCTGGGGATTGAACCCAGGTGAGCCACGTGCAAGGCAAGTGTGCTACCCACTCCTCAAAAACATACTCCTTTGAGAAATTCTTCCTGTTGAGTAGCCCATTACTTTACTGACATAATATTATTTATGTATCATTCAATAAATAATGAATGATAGCTGGAGCGATAGCACAGTGGGTAGGGCATTTGCCTTGCACACAGCTGACCCAGGTTCGATTCCTCCGTCCCTCTTGGCGAGCCCGGCAAGCCACCGAGAGTATACTGCCCACACCACAGCCGCAGAGCCTGGCAAGCTACCCGTGGTGTATTCGATATGCCAAAAACAGTCAACAAGTCTCACAATGGAGATGTTACTGGTGCCTGCTTGAGCAAACTTATGAAAAACGGGACAACAATACTACAGTGCTATCATTCAATTAAAACCTAAAGAGGAATTTTATATATATATATATAGCATATATATATATATATAGTGTGTGTGTGT